CAAATCTTACCAAGAAAAAAAAAGACAAACACATGGCTAATCAATATCAATATCAACCCAATCCACACGTTCCTGTAGATTGAACAGTCCAGTTATTACCATCATCATTGCCTTTATAATTCCTGTTATCCTCATCAAAACTGCTTCTTATTTGCTTTCGAATTCGAAATTATCACCTAAAATGTCCGAATCGAACTATTTTTTTTCCAACTGGCTTTCCCTTCTAAGAGGCCTCGATTACTTAACTTTCCCCTAACCTATCTACGAATAAGGTAAAGATGTTTTAGGTTAAGGTATCAAACTTTATATTCGATGTAGTTTATTACAAGGATGGTTTAACCGTTGATGGTTCATTTGGATATATATATATGTGTGTATGTTTATTTGTGTTTATTTCTGGGATTAGTTATTGTCCTTTCTTTGGTGTGATAGAGACAGGTGGAAAAACTGTAATTGCATGGTGGTGAAACTCAAGGGAGAAACTTAATTATTACAGGGTAGATGAAGTTTGCTAAAACGTTTCCAAAGTACCAGATTCCTGATTGGTCTACTAAATATATCAATTACAGGGCTTTGAAAAAAGTTATAAAAAAAATTGAGGAACAGCAAGAAATTCTGTTCGATCAAGACAATAATATTCATGATAATGATGATATCACTGGGAGTGAAGGTATTAATAGCAGTCCTCCTAGAAGAAGACGAAATGTTCATAAATGGGAAGAAAACTATTTGAACGATGAAAATGTTAAGATTCTGATTGACTGTTTTTTATTACAATTTAATGAGGACTTGAAAAAAGTGGAAACTTTTTATATGGAAAAATCAAATGAATATAATAAAAGACTGAATAGACTATTGAGTTCAAGTCAATTTTTAATTGTTAATAATCAATTTGATGATGTTGAAAAATCTTCAAACTTGTCGATTGATTTGATTCAAGATTTACAAGAAATTAAATATATCTTGTTGAGACTATCGATACATTTCCAAGAATTGAAATCTTATTGTGAGTTAAATAAGAAAGCTTGTTTGAAAATTTTGAAAAAACTAGATAAAAAAATAGGAACTTCAATTAAGGAATCGTATTACATCGAGAATGTCGAACCTTTAAGTTTCATCAATTATAACAACGTAAAATTAGATATCCAAATTATTGAAAATATTATGGAAAAATTCGTTCCTGAATTAATAAATATAGAAAAGGATTCCATTAATCAACTTTCAAAAATCTTCAATAATAATAAAAAAAACCCTTTATTGGCACAAGATGAAATCTTTAAATTCATAGAAAAGGATGACTCAAAACAGATGAAACAACTATTACTATCAAAATATGAAAAAATTGAAAACATACCGATACGATATTTCATCAACTTATTGAACAACGCAGCGCTGTTCTTGGCATTTAGCTGTATCGATACAATTTTGGCAATAATCCCTTCTTTACAAGATAATTCAGATTTAAATTATAGAAATTTCTTTCATTACCATATTATTACATTGGGGGAGAATTACGAAGTTATCAATAACTTCTCACAAGAAATGACCATTTATAGAGAAACTTCAACTGCTGAAATAAAAGAATTGTCGTTGAAAAGAGAAGATTCAAGTTTGGCCTTCGATATTGAAGTGTTCAATAATTCAAATTCCAAAATTAGCTTCGGTATAGTTTATATCTTGGAAAGTTTGGACCCAAAATTTTATTCATGCTTAGTAGCAAAAGATGGCTTTGGAAGAACTGTTCTGCATTATGCTGCTCAATATGGTTTGGCTGATTTGGTAGATATAATTATGGAAAAATTGATTCAATGGGATCTTTGGGATAGTTCCATCTCTATAGATAGCATTGACCACTGGGGTGATATCGATTCAAAAACACCGATGGAATTGGCTATTATTGGAAAACACCCTTTGACTATTACAAGACTGCTACAGTACGTTATTACAGAAAAGGCAAATAATTCATTAGTACAACTGGCTATTTCGTTAAAGAAATCATCATTGGTAAGAGCCCTTTTTTCGAGAAAATGCTACGATATCAATGGAGTAGATTCGGAATATAACGAATCAAATTTATACATTGCTTCAAAATTAAATTTGCCTAATATTGTTAAATTTCTACTAGAAAATGGTGCTTCAACAGATATTACTGAAAGTCTGTTTTCGTGGAATCCATTATTTATTGCTGCTGTTGAAGGTTATAAAGAAATTGTACAATTATTGCTAGATTTTGGAGCTAATAAATATATTTTTGATGAAAGCGGATGGACTCCAATGGAACAAGCAACATTGAATGGGTATCTGGATATAGCGGAGTTGATTTCTTTACCAGATAAAGATTCCATTATGAAACCAAATTTACATAAAATGATGAATACATCATCAAAACCAATCTTTACTCTAGATTCTTCTACAAAAATATCAGATATGACGACTAATGATAATAATGATAGCAGTGCTAATAATAATATTCCAACAGAGAAGAAAGAAAACGGTACCAATGGTATGAATGGTGGAAACTTAAAGCAGACTAAATCGTTTGGTCATGATCATTTAGAGTCAGATCAATCTGTCATTTTAGTTACTTTGGGAGGTCATGATTCTAGAATCCAATCACCAGCTATATCAATAGATAAAGATGTCATATTAAAAAGTTTTCCAAAGGCCATTAAAAATGGACTATCATTATCCATCGTCTGTTTAGATGCAAGTGAAAGGGAAGAGATCATAGATCTTCCATTGGATTTCAATCCTGATTCTATTAGAATCAATGTTCCTTACAAATCTGACTTCTCGCATATTATATATTTTAGTCTTCTTGCGGATGACGAAGTTACTTCACCTAGGGGCACACCAGATTTTCTACAGTTCAATAAAAATACTGCCACAGCATCAGCTCCAAATAAAAAAGTTATTGGTAGAGCAATAGCCTTTCTAAATAAAACTGGTACATTCGTTGGTAATAATAAAAGATCGCTAAATGACATAGCAACAATTCCTATAATTGGTAGAGATTCATTGGATGTACTGGGTTCTGTTACATTTGAATTTCTAATCATTACACCCTTTAAGCATTCTAAAATGACTTTTGAAAGGACAGAAGCATATTGGAAATCTTTGGTATCCACTAGAGTAATTGGTCATAGGGGTTTAGGTAAGAATTATAATACCAAAAAGACGTTGCAACTTGGTGAAAATACTGTAGAGTCATTTATTGCAGCCGCTTCTTTAGGGGCTTCATATGTAGAATTTGACGTTCAATTAACAAAGGATAGCGTTCCTGTGGTATACCATGATTTCTTGGTTGCAGAAACTGGTGTTGATATACCGATGCATGAATTGACATTAGAGCAATTCTTGAATTTGAACAACTGTGAAAAACATATATCTGGTATGAATAAGAAAGGAAGAAGAAACTCAATAGCAGAATTAAACTCAACCCATGTATCCAGGCCATGGGAAAATATCAGTAGTAGTATGGATCATATAAGGGGATACTCTCATAAAACGAACGAAGATGGTGAAGTGGCCAATTCCAAGAATAGTTCATCTAAGGATTTTATTGATGACAGAATGAGGTTAACCAAAACATTTAAGAAATATAATTTTAAAGGTAACACAAGAGGCTTTTCAATTTCTTCATCATTTGTAACACTAGAAGAACTATTCAAGAAAATTCCAGCCAATGTAGGTTTTAACATTGAATGTAAATATCCTATGGTTGACGAAGCCGAGGAAGAAGAAACTGGACATGTTATGACAGAAATGAATCATTGGATTGATACTGTATTAAAAGTGATATTTGATAATGCAAATGGCAGGGACATTATTTTTTCATCATTCCATCCTGATATTTGTGTTATGTTATCTTTGAAGCAACCTTCGATTCCTATATTATTTTTAACAGAAGGAGGTACCACTAAAATGGCGGATTTACGAGCAGCGTCATTACAAAATGCAATTAGGTTTGCTAGAAATTGGAATTTATTAGGTATAGTATCCGCGGCAAAACCTATTTTATTGGCACCAAGATTAGTCAGAGTTGTAAAAACAAGTGGGTTAGTTTGTGTGACATATGGTGTTGAGAATAATGAGCCTGAAAATGTTGTAGTTGAAATGAATGCTGGAGTTGACGCAGTGATTGTTGACAGCGTATTAGCAGTGAGAAAAGGATTAACCAAAGAAAGTTAGTCCAATGTAAATAAGAAACACCACAGAAATCGATATAATATTATATACTGTAGTATAGAGATTTAAATATTATATTTATTTGCTTCTTATTAAGTACACAAATCTTTGATAATCGGTTAAAATAAAGATAATGATTACGGTTTCGTTATACATTCAATGAATATTTATTTAATGTTATACTATTATTACAACAATGTTTCACCCAAGGCACACCGAGCAATTGCGCAACCAGCTGAAATAGTATCTACAACATGAATATCGTTGTGGGATAAATCTGGGTTACATTCTACTACATCTAAAGCTACTAGTCTACCTGTTTCAGCCAATCTTTCTACGATGAACAAACCTTCTCTTAAGGTCAAACCACCTCTCACAGGCGTACCAGTTGCAGGCACGTATAATGGATCTACTGCATCGACATCATAAGAACACATGATGGGATCATTTTCAGAAGTGGAAATTGATTCTATAGCCATTTCAATGACTTTATTGATACCATATCTATCGACATGGTACATTGAGAAAGCAGATATGTTCAAATCTTTTAAGATTTTTTTCTCAGCATCATCCAAATCTCTTAAACCAATGTAAGCAATTTTATTTGGTTTTAAATTTTTTGGTAACCATTTCAATGAAGAAGGGATCTTCTCCTCTGGGTTCAAGCCCATTAGGAAAGAAACTGGGCAACCGTGTAAGTTCCCAGATTCTGTTGAATCAACGGTATTAATATCTGCATGAGCATCGATCCATAAAACCCCAGCATTTGGATATTTTTCAACCACAGCAGAGACGGTACCCATTGCAATAGAATGGTCACCACCCAAAGTCAATGGGAACCTATTATCATTTAAAGTTTCTTTGACAGAATTATGAATTAATTGAGTAGCGACACCTACAGATTTTGAATTTTTAATATTTGAACCTTTGATGTCATCCGAATCGTCTTGTAATTCGACATCAAGACCTTGCAAAGGATCTAGCAGTTTAGTTTCCCAACCCAATTCGTTCAAATTGGATTCCAAACCATGTTTTAGCATGTATTGTGGGCCTTTTTCGACACCTTGTTTCTTCTGACCACCGGAGAATGGTGCTAATACCAATGAAACTTTACGTTCATTCAAAAACTTATAATGAGGAGCCTCCATGTTTTTCAATAAATGTGTAAATACAAGTGTAAATATATATGAGTGTATGTATGAGAAGATAACACTATGTATCTGTCTCTTATTACAATGGTAATTTATAACTTTCTAGACTGTACAGAGTAGAGACTAAAGTATAGCTTGTACAGCAACAAAAATTGAGCCAAAAATAAAAAAAAAATATTAAAAAGGATTAGGTCAAACCAGAAACTCAAGAGTTGAATTGGATCAGATATTGCCTTTATATATCAAACAAAAGGTCGACTTCAAGAGAAGATATCTTTGGAGATGTCATCAAATAATGCATTGCATCATCGAAGCGATGATGCAGATGTTAAGATTGATAAATTTCGAAATTTCGAAATTTTGGCCTTTAAAAGCAAGACATACCTTTTTGGATATTATCGAAATCAGTTTAACTTTTGATATTAGGGACAAAAGTGGACAAAGTTTTGTCCATCAAAAGAGATTATAAGTCCGACAATTGGGCAGACTGTGACAAAAATTTGTACCAGGACAAATCGGGTCGCCAGTCGCTTCAACTTGCACTTAAGGGAGACAGAAAGAGCCCACCCTAACCCAACCCACCAAAAACACACCAACCGTGTGTTGTCTCCTCTCCACTCCCGGAGGTTTTTCCTCTTTTAATCTGATTTTTGAACAAAACTGCAATACAAATAAAAAATAAAGGATAATTCGGCATGTATCCGGGTAACAGTGTGTATCGGAGTTATTCTTCGGAAAATAAGCAAAAAAATAAAAATAGAAGGAAACTGTATTATTTCAAGGTTACATCGTACGAACCTTGATAATGTCGGGATGTAATTCGTTACAATAAATGGTGTCATATTATCAATATTGCTATTTAAAGAGATCATTGTACATTATTGTATATTATTGTATATTATTTAGTATCTTACTTTGTACATAAAAGAATATAGAAATTTATTATTATTAACAAGTATATTTACTTTAACCTACAGATCTCCACCCTTAAGATCCTATAGAATAAACGCCTACCAGCCTTCATTCTAACGTATACTAAATTCAATATACAACTAAATAATAATAAAGGCCAAACAATACAAAACAGCAATATCACGGGAGCACTCATAATTAGTTTATCCGGAAAACCCTCTTCGTAAATAACGACCAGTTCTCTTCATCTTGTTGTTCTTATCCCCGAGTTGCTTTTGTTTCGGTCTCCAGTTCGACTCCTGCAAGACACATCGTACTCAATTTAAAAAAAAAAGAAGCCTACATATATACACATCTTTCTTTGCCCGAACGACCGATCCAATATCAATTTTGACAATTTGATTGATGATTCCCCATGGCTTTTTTGGATATTTTCCATTTACTTATTTAAACTAACCTATGATTGATTGATTTAAATTTAAATTTAACTTTAACTCTAACTGAACAGGAGTCTAACTTAATATTATTATTTACAAATTATACTCTTTTAATTGCATGAAACTACGTTCCTTTTGGTTATATAGGTATAGGTGTAGTTGCAAACAGCTGTTTGAATCTTTAGTTTGGGGTTTCCTGTGACTTATACTTCTAATCATAATCATAGTCATATCCATACTCATACTTATAATCACAAAGTGTCTGTCCATCGGTCAATTGCCCTTATCGATACATACTCTCTCTCTCTCTCTTTACCAGTTATTTGATTTCTCAATCGTTGTTTTTAGTTTTTAAGGGCAAGCCATGGATACCTCTATAGAGAACAACACTCATCTCTACGATAATCATTTTAATGATGTCAGTTCCATGTTTCAAAATAGTACCGTTATCCTAGAGTCTGGACTGCCGTATTCGATAGATGATACTAAGGAGACAAGTAATGAGAAGGAGTCTCACAATGACGATAACAATGAACAACAACCATTGGAAAATGAAAAACTTTTGTTAAAAGAAGAGGTCATAGAGTGTAACGTTGTTAACACAACTAAAAATTTCGATATCTTGTACCATATTGTAGGCACTATTGCTGGTAAGGATAAACTGGCAAAAATTATTAGATATTCATTGGATTTATTACGTTTGTTATTAGTATATTTTAATGGGAAATTAAGGGAAAAAAATCCAAACTTAACCGTTTTTTATAAAAATTTTAATAAGTTAAAGGGAAATTACTCTTTGTTTAAATATTTTATCAAATTCCCATTAACAACTATAAAATTTTTTCTAATCTTTTCATTTAAATCAGTAGAGAAAAAAATCTCATTCATTAATTCACAATTGTCCACTTTTAGATATATCCTGAGATTCGGTTATTTACCATTTTACCTATTGCCTTATCTAGATAAATTGAAATCAATTGCAAAATCTCCACATACAATAGGGAAAATCGCCTTAAATGAAACTTTCTTACAAGATACTCTAAACATTTACTATTCGATCTTTGATGAATTAGACACATTGTATAAATTGAACCTTTGGTCAAACGACCAATTCTATAACATCGTTGGAAGACACGAAGCCTATTCATGGCAATTAGATATTTTATTAGCTTTGAAAAATAACTGGCTATCTTTGAAAAGTTTAGAAAGAAAAGAATTAGAGTTGCAATTAAAATTGCAATTTAAGGAAGAAGCATTAGAACTATCAAATTTCTACAATAACTTCAATAACGATAATGACAAAAATAATAATAATAATATTATTAACAATAATGATAACGATGACACCAAAACAGAAAAACCAGATTCTGTAATTTCATATTCTTTCTCAAATAGTTTCTCCACTTCAGATATCGAACAACAATTAAAATCAATCAAAGATCAAAAGCTAATTGTAAATTTGGATTTAGTAAGGTTGTCCTTTGATTTAATGGCAAATACAACTGACGTATTCAATATGAAAGTCCCAACTGGTACTTACTCGATCTTATCTCTGTGCTCTGGTATAACAGGGTTCATTAAAATTTGGATAAACACTAGGAGAGAATTATCATCAAATTAAAAAGATATCAATAATTAATAAATTGGTATTCATACCCACCCATGAATTGGTTATTTCATTCTAATTGATGTATGTGTCTTCCAATTTTGTCTTAATATTATTATCTAATCTTCTTTTATTTTTTAAGGAAAATTCTTTTATCAAAAAGTGTATATACCTTTTAACACAATATATCATTACATATAAGTATATTTATTTATATTACAAATTCTTTATACCCACTCAGCTTCTACGTTAGCCTTTTGGAATGTATAATCTTTCCGATTAATAGTTGCAACACCATCCTTCAATGAACATTTCCACCTAGCCTTAGTTCTAGTAACTTTTTCGTATAGACATAATAACAAGTTTTCATCAGGACCATCATCTTCACCTTCGGAGATTAAGTAATCGTCGTCTGAATCATCCAGTTCCGAACCTACTTCATCATTATCTAGTAAAGCACTTCTCTTATTTTGTTTCTCTTGTTGTCTCAACAATTCTGCAGCTTTTTCGCCATTTTGACCCTCTATCACTAATTCAAATGGTTTCCCTTTCTCTAGAAGTCTTGGTTGCTCTTGTTGTTGTTCCTGTTCCTGTTGCTGTTCTTGTTTTTCTTTATCACTTTCTTCCAACTTATTTACTTCACTGTCGTGTTCATCCTTAACTTTGATCTCGTCTTCCTTGTTTCCTTCTGTCACTGCTGTGGGTATCTTTTCCTGTGACTCCTTCGCATTCTCTTCTGCTGTTCGTTGTACGTTCTGTGAATCTTCGGTATTCTTGTTATTATTACTATCTATGCCACCCGGTAGTACTAGACCATTTGGTTCTTCTTCTTTTAATGAAAATTCAGCTGGCACAGTGTCATTAGTGTTGGAATTTTGATTTGTACTATCCTCTCCACCATCAATGGCTTGTTGTTGTTGTTGTTGTTGTTCATTTTCATAGTTATTGACATTCCAACTGAAATGGGTTACGCTTGTTTCTGTCAATTTTTGTTGCCAAACTCTTTTCAAATCTTGCAAAGTCTGTTCATCGATCCCTGCATTTTCAAAATCTTCACGAACTTCATTAATCACTGATTCCCCTACTATATTGTCATATTCTCTACTAGCATCTACTTCTGCCATATTGCTGATTTATACTGCCATATATTTGTTTCCGTCTGACTTTAACATGATCAGATTCTCTCCCACTGAACTTTCAACGATACTAAATGATACACTGGATTCCATCCACATTGATATCCTTGCTTAGCTGTACCTTTATATGAGCGTGTGTGCGTGTGTTTGTATGTTTATTTTATTTAACAATTTCCTTATTGACCAAAAATAAATAAAAACCTCGCTTCTAAACCAATTAAAGCCCACCCAAAAAGAGAAAACAAATGGTAACCTCACTCGACTAGTCTGATCCAACCTTAATCACCTCGTGTTTTTGGCCAGTAGTTGCTGTTTAAACTAATTAACCACTTCTTTTAAGTATGTTGTAACTGGTTAAATTTCAATATTTTTTTCGAAATTTTTCATTTTTCGTTTTTGCCAAATTTTATGTTTTTGGTCCTCAATAGATTCAGGTCACGTGCCATCGATGGTCATGTGATCATACATCACATGATTTGCGACACAATCACGTGCAACGTTTTGAAATAGAAAAAAATTGTTCCGTCTTCGTTTTGTTTCGGTTTCCTCCGAACTATACGCCAAACTGCATTCGAAACTCCCCTCCCCCCACGGAAGTAACTCTGGGCAGAGCAAAAAAAAAGAAAAAGTACCAAAAAAATATCGAAACATCCAAAATTTCGAACCTTCCAAATAAAGTTTCATAACTGATTCGAATCTAATAGTCCATGATTGCCCTTGACCTGTTCGAACATTTGCTTTACAATTCATTACTTGCATGGCATGGTATATTTGGTTGGTATGGTTCGTGTCACCACCGTTCTTATCTTTAAACATTCATTTCTTGTGCATTCTTTCTATATTTACAGCTCTTTCTTTATCTTCATATCCATATCCATATTCATATTCATATTTATATTTATACTAGGTATATTAATACATTACAAGACTAGCTAACTCGGTTCGGTTTTGAATGGGGGATAATTTAGATTCTAGTGCAGGTAGTTCTGCATTTGATCTTTTGCAACAGTATAATGACCATCGCTTCGCTAAAGATATGGCTCTTAAGGAAATAGAAACCCAGCTTATTACGCCTAGCAACTCTCAGGGTGCCAGTAACGTGGAGATGGACTCTTTGAAGGCTAAGATTATAGAATTGGAAAACATTATTATCGAAAAAGATTTGGAGATACAAAGGTTGAATGAAATTATAGCTAATAGTGGCGACAATGATAAAAGCAAGGAAGAGGACGATGCCATTAAAATGACTCCTACCATCGATAGGAATGAGATTGTTCCAGTACCTACTATTATTTTAGATCAAAAGACAACTCTGACTCCAGATTTAGCCACTCCGGCAACTTCCGTCACTTACACAACTTCGAGGATTACTATTACTTCTCCAAATAAAAAAATGGACTCTCCTACTGCTTCTTCGATCTCTGGCCATCTTCAAGATGATGAGATAGAATTGATGCCAAAGAGTCCCTTGAGGAAATTGAGCAAAAATATTTCTGATGATAACGGCTCGATGGATTTTTCACCAATCTCAAAACAGAAGTTAAACAATTTCGCTGATCTAGTGGATTCAACATTCGATGAATCTATAAATAATTCCACAAACAAGATAGATGTATCCATAAAAAATAAAGATGATGAAAATAATAACGATAATGACAACGAAAACGACAACGACAATGACAATGGCAACGATAATGACAATGACAATGACAATGACAATGACAATGACGTAGAATCAAATTATAGTGATCGCAATATCGATTTGTCAACTCCAGTCTCGGAATCTTTAGGTTCGCCGTTATTGATAAATAAATCAAGTGAAAAATTATTTGCTGTCCAAGATAGCAATCAATCCGTTACCGCGTCTTCTCTTAGATCAACGTCGAATGGTTCTTCAGTGAAGACTTCGGCTCAATCGAGATCTGTCAGTGTAAATTCAATACCTACAGCAAGCACTCCATTGACTGATGTTTATTCAAATAGACCAAAGCCACTTTCAGAATCTACATCTCTATCTTCAACAAATAGCATCCAAAAACAACAGATTTTACAAGCTACTCGACAACAGCAACATCAGTCTTTGTCAAGAAATATAACTCCTATTAAATCAGACATTCCTTTATTCATTCAACCTGGTGAGTTTGATACAATTTTAGTACAAGTTATAAGTACTTTGTTTTATCAACAAAGTTTGAATGGCTTTGATGACAATAGAAATGAAGATTCAAATTTCATTCTAATTAGTGTATTAGATAAGAATACTCATAAAGAAATCTTTAAATTTTCAAAAACTATAGAGAAAATTTACGAATTGGATTCTTTATTAAGATCGACTATTTCAATTCTTGATTTGCAACTTTTACCAGCATTACCGGATAAATCAATTTTTCAAATGTATACACCTTCAAAGATTGATGACAGGCGTGAAAAATTAAATGAATATTTCCAAAAACTATTTTTATTTAAAGACTTTCCACCAACTATTGCATTAAAGGTTGCACAATTTATTAGTACAGACACTATAATTCATCCTATCTATTCAGGTGAAAATGTAAAAGAAGGACCTTTATTGATTAGAAGGCCAAAAACATTGGGTACTGCTACAGGATGGAGGCTAAGACAAGTGACGTTGAAAAATGAAACCTTATATTTGTTTAACGAAAGAAATACTCAATTGGTGGAGACTATTAAATTAAGACAAGCGACTATTGAATTGTTGCCCAATTTACCTGAGGATAAATTTGGTACTAAGAATGGATTTGTAATAAATGAACACAAGAAATCGGGTCTTTCGAGCACTACTAAATATATCTTATGTGCAGAAAAATCCAAAGATAGAGAATCATGGGTTTCTTTGATAAACGAAATGATATTTAATCCACCTAAATTACCGGCATCCAATTCGTTTACGTTATCTAATTCTTCTAATTCGAACATTTCGCAGGGAACTAATTTATTGAACATTTCTTCAGGCAATAGAATAACATCAAGTTCGAGTGCAAACTCTAACCTTGAATCTACAACGTATTTTTCAAACAAAACTGAAAATATTGATAGTGTTTATGTTACTGACTTGTCAGCAGAGGCAAATAATCCATCCTCAACATATGCGAATAATTCATGCAGTAAGATTTCATTAGGTAAAACAACACCAAACTCATCAAGGAACGATGTTTCTGAAATACATGAATCAGACAGTAAGAGAAATAAAATGAGAAATCTGTTTCCTTTTAAGATGTTAACTACATCGAATACATCAACCAGCAGTTTACCTAATAATTCTTCAGAAACATCTTTATCACATGAAGCAGATATTAAATATTCAGATGCTTCAATTAACAAATCATTAGAGATGTTAAACTTAGCTGGACCTGAGTCTAAAACAACAAATTGCAATTTTGTATTTGGAAGTACGCTTGAAAAATGTTTAGCCCTAAGCTCTCGAATATATCAAAGTGAATATCAATTACCAAGTATTGTTTATAGGTGTCTGGAATATCTTTATAAGAACCAAGGGTTGCAAGAAGAGGGTGTATTTAGATTGAGTGGATCAAGTGCATTGATTAAATCATTACAGGATCAGTTTGATAGAGATCACGATGTTGATTTATGTGAATATAATAAGAACGTCAGTGCACGTAGCGATATAGATTATGAAGATAATTCGAGATCGGGTACATACATTGATATTAATACAGTGACAGGACTGTTGAAACTTTATTTGAGAAAACTGCCTCATTTAATATTCGGAGATGATAATTATTCTACATTTAAAAAAATCGTTGATGAGAATCCTAAGGATGAAGCCACTATAGCTATTGAATTTCGTAAATTGATCCAAGATGGATCAGTTGCTAAACCTAATGTTGCATTGATGTATTCATTATTTGAATTGTTAGTTAGAATTAATGAAAACAATAAAATTAATAAAATGAATATCAGGAATTTATGTATTGTCTTTTCACCGACTTTGAATATTCCAATAAACGTTGTTCAACCGTTTATCGTTGATTTTGCATGTATATTCAAGGGAGAAGCACCAATTGATGCATCTCGTAGAGAAAGCTTAGATGTACATATTCCACAACTATGAGCTAATATTATCTAGCTACATTATTAATTAAATATATATATATATATATTCATATACATATATAGAAGCATTATAAATAACATTTGTAAAATTATATAAACTTTCCAATGGGTATCATTGTTACATTTTATTGTTTGTCAACATAATAATGACAGTCAAGTAGTTCAACAAAGTGTCACTTTCTCCAGATGGGATGTTACTGGGAAATAAGACCATGTGATAATCACCTGACTGTCTCATCATTCACGTAATTTATTTACCCGGTCCATCACGTGTTATTTATTTCCGGGTAACAGTTATGTTTGTTTCTTTGAAAAAGATTGTTGGTTGGCAGAAGTATCGTTTCAAGTATTGCCATTAACAAGAAATATTGAACTTAACTTATAAAATGTGTATATCAAGAGAATGGAAAGAATGTATTGTATATTATAAACCAATTTAACAGAAAGGATACCGAAGTTGCCTATACTAGTTTAAGCATTTAATAAAGTGTATTGGTGGTTCGTTGTTGTGTTTTTTCCCCTGTTTGATAGAGTTATTTTTTTTGTCTTTTCTGAATTAAATTGCAAAAGGATATATAAAAAAAAATATTCAAATATTAATATTGATAAAAGATAATAATAATAATATAATAGTAATAATAGTAATAATATTAATAGCAATTTTTGCTCTAGATACATTTGTTATATTGCGTTTTAATCATATCACTACTATTTGATCAAATTAAAATTAGCTATGTCTTTACCTCTTCGACATTCAATTGAAACTGAAACTTCTCTGGATAGGATTTTAGAAGATCTTTTAGTAAGATTTATCCTTAATGTTCCGCCTGAAGACTTGTCTTCGGTGGAGAGAGAATTGTTCCACTTCGAGGAAGCTTCATGGTTTTATACTGATTTTATTAAGTTAATTAATCCTCAGTTACCTTCCTTAAAAATTAAGTCCTTTGCAACAAACATTATTAGAATGTGTCCCCTTGTATGGAAGTGGGATATTAAAGCAGATCAAGCTTTACAAAAGTTCTCCCTTTATAAGAAATCAATCCCTGTTAGAGGTGCAGCTATTTTCAACGAAAGATTTAATAAGATATTATTAGTTAAAGGCACAGAATCAGATACTTGGTCTTTCCCTCGTGGTAAAATTTCAAAGGATGAAGACGATGTACAATGTTGTATAAGAGAAGTGAAAGAAGAAATTGGCTTCGATTTGACTGATTACATCGATGAAAATCAATTTATTGAAAGAAATATTTCAGGTAAAAATTATAAGATTTTCTTGGTCTCAAAAGTACCTGAAAGTACTCAATTTAAACCACAAGTAAGAAATGAAATTGAAAAAATTGAATGGAAGGATTTTAAAAAAATTACAAAATCGGTTTATAAATCTACTACTTCAACAAAATACTACCTAATAAATTCGATGATAAGACCGTTATCAATGTGGTGTAGACGTCAAAAACAAAATAAGGGAGATGATCAATTAAAGAAATATGCTGAGGAACAACTGAAATTGTTATTGGGTATCCCTGTTACTGATGAATCGATTAGAAATATCGTAAATGGTATTTCCAATGATAACTTGAGTGAACATGAATTCATAGCATCACAAAACGAAATCAATAATCAAATGCAACCTCCTTCTCAAACTCCTCAACATGGTTTGGACTTAGATCCAGGAAGAGCGTTATTGGATTCTTTACAATCAGCATTTAATTCAAATCAACAACAAAGTTTCATACCATTACAGCTTCCACCTCAGAATCCAAACAATGTTATGTTCCCAATGATGAATAACGTTTTCCAGCCTTTTACACCTTATCCTTTTGTCAATTCAAATAATGGTAATATAATGTTTAATGCAAATCAACTGCCACCTTTACGTGCAAACGTAACTTCAACCTTAGACAGTCAAAACCAAATGGATGAGAATATGGGTAATAATTCATTGCCTTTAACTCCAAACATCAATTCTTTATCTAGACCATCTATTGTCCAAACATCAGGCAGTAATGATGCAAAACAATTATTATCTCTGTTGAAAGAGAAAAAAGAACCTGTATCTGGGTCTTCTACTTTCAAATTATTAAAAAGAGGAGAATCTTTTCCTCAACAAACTCCAGATACAAACTCTAGCTCATCAAAAGACCTTTTGAATATCCTACAGAACTCTACGCAGAAGCAACCTATTCAAACACAAAGTTCTTACCAAGCTGAAAGTCAAACTAATACTCAAATTGAACAAGATTCAGACGAAGATTATGAAGCATTCGAAAGCAGTTCAGATGAGGAGGAACAAGAGCAATTAGAAGAGCTAAATAGTGATGAAATTCCAAATCAAATTAACGTCCCTAAGGATATATTATCAGAAAATCAATTTAGAACGAATAACTTAGATATCCCACATAAAGACAATAAAGATGATAGTACTATGTGCGAGCCAGATCTTATCGTGTCTACGCCTCCTGTTGTTGAAAATAAGCCTAAGCAAAAGATTAAATTATTGAGAAGGGGAGAAACACTTGACAAGGAAAACTTGCTTTCACCACCAAGTGTTTTTCGCGAGTCATTACCTTATTCTGCTGATCGCAAAGATGAAGTTACATCTGCCAAACCATTGATGGAGATGTTGAAAAAGCCACTGCAATCATCTACAGCACAAAATCAATATACACCATCGCCAACAACAACATCAACATCAACAACTGCAGCAGCAGCTTCAACAATATCTTCGAATCCATTGCTGGATTTATTAAAAGGTCCTGTTAGAGGCAACGGAGGTAGCGTATCCCCTACCAATAATAGTGAACAATTCAGAGGTAGTTCTATTACTCAATCTTTTGATTCAGGCAGCATAGCGCAATCTAATGCACATGAATTATTGAACGTCTTGAATAGTCCTCCTTCTCATAAGACAAACGATTTCTTCCAACCCAATATGAATGAGCCTAATATCGCGAACATTGGCGATACTATCAGTTCGTTACCTCGTATGGTTTCTAGTCCTTCCCAATATCAAATGCCTATAAATAATAATAATATGATTTCTCAAAATCATCCTCCACCAGGATTACCTCCATTACAATCCCAATCTTCTGCTAATCAATTTCTGAATATTTTAAATGGTGGGAGTCCTGCTGTAGGTGACAACATTGCATATTCACCATTTGGTGGTCAAATTTCACAAAATGGACCAAACTCAAACTCTGCATCCAATCAATTATTAAATATACTACATAGAAAGTAGGTTTGGGATATATATACAGATATAGATATTTTAGAAAATAATTTTCTTGAATTTGTTTATATTTCTATGTAATAATAATATATATAAATATAATTACTCTTCGTGATCAGTCAAGACATAATCTTCTAAAACTGAATTCAATTCTTTATCATCATGCACAGGCCAAACCACAGATTTATCTTTGAATGTATTCAATGTTATGGTACATCCGTAACATAGGCATGCCTTAGATCCATTTTCTTTTACGAATTCATTCAATCTAAAGAAGTCCATTTCTGAGTTTTTCAATTTGTCATTGTTATAATTTTTCCATCTTTGATAGTTTTCTTTCTCTTCATCTGTTTCCAGTGGATGACCTTTATTTTCTGTAATTGATGTTATCCACTGTGATGGATCTGAATATATTTTCTGCATGCAGAGGTTACATTTGCTAATTTTAAAGTTTTCTTGAGATTTAGGTTCTGCCAATTTATCACCGGTTCTAACGACAGTTGAGATGACATTTGAGTAATCACCTTCTATCACTTCGAAATAATTTCTTGCGAGTTCGTTTATAGTTTTATTCTTTAATGAATTTGTCTGTATTTTATCCGTATTTTGATTTATTTTATTAACAAGTAGTGCATCCTGGATGTTATAGTTTATTAAATAGTTGTGTAAACCAGAGTTGTAACAGTATGCGTCGATTTCTGTCAATAAAATATCTTTCAAAGGGTATAAATTTTTAAACTTGTTCCCATAGTTTTCATCGAAATCATCTGTATTGAGACTGCTAGAAATGGCTGAACCTCTTCCTTTGACAATCAACGAAATGACTTCGTCAGCTAGTCTGGTCATTGAATGTCCCCATAAAATTGCTTTGAAATCATGTTGGAATGCATATTTTTTAATAGCATGTTTTGTAACAAATGCCAATAAATCTTGATAAGTTGATCTGTCGGAACATTGATCTAGTATTTCAGATAGTGTAAGTTTTTTTTCTATTATCGATTGATCTTTCAAGTTTAGTGATTTTATTAGGAAATCAGTTTCTTGTAAGACCAATGATTGTAAATGTGGTGAATTATCAAAAAATTGGTTTATGTCAACTAAATGGAATTTAATTTTCTGATTATTTTCTTTATATTTTGCATTGATCAATTTTGAAACGTTTTCTTTAATTTGGTTTTGAATTTGTTCATCATGGAAACAGATAATTACGTCTACTGTGAAACCAGTTTTCCCTCTATGAGTTATTGATTGTTCTAATAGAGTATCATTTAAGATATCTAGCATTACTAAAGAAGAAGAACCGAAGGATAAAGGGACCAAAATTTTTGAGTTTAAATTCTGTAGATGGGCATCTTGTTCTGATCTAAGTTTATCCTTGTACATAACTTTAAAGATGTCTTGGTAATATTGGTCTGACATCATTTGTTTACGTTGTTTTAGTGAGACGAAGTTACGAAAACAGTCTGTACAAAACTTTTCCTTTCTTGAAATGACGCTGGCGTGATTTTTGTTACATCTTTGACACAACAGTATGTCAGAGTGTGAGTGTGAGTCTGACATGGTGAATGTTTTTGTCTGTAATCTATTTGAATTAAAATTGAAATGAAAAGTCTATAAATATTGAGATCAGGATATTTTGTAAATTTTGTCTATAACAAAATAAAGAGATCACACAGTGTGCCGATAACTTGAGTGGATGGGATAGTAATAAGGTTTTATAAGCTCTAAACCAAATCAAAAAAGTGCGATGAGGTGAAATTTTTCAATATTATCACTTTTATCACTTTTTCAGTATTATCTATGTAAGTAACTAAGTAACTAAGTAAGTATGTATGTTAGATCGATACAACGATGCCGGTGCTAATAACACTCATGAGAAGGACAATGTGTGATTTTTGGAACACCGATGTTTCGTCACCAATGATATATGTCCAGTGAGCACGTGATGGGGAGAGAGAAGACGTTGTTCACGTGATGTGATGTGGTGTTGTGTGGTGGAGACTAGTACTGTTTGATAAGTGGGAGTGGGAGTGTATCGAGAATTATATATGTTCCCTTTCTAATGTGCAATAGTGATTGTACTGGGCAGCTAATATTGTCGGTCAGTCTTTCCCCTTGTGTATGTATGTCCCTCTCACCAACCACCACAAAATACATACACACGCCTACCCCTAACGCCGGGTAACTCACCGTCTATTTCGTCCTGATCTCTGATCTCGCATTGTTCGTACACCATGAGTGTCCGGGTAATCCAGATAACACTCACCAAACAAAAAATTGTTCGAAACTTCGAAACTTCGAAATAAGACAGAACCCACCCATTTTATCGCATATCTACTAACTAATTTAAAAAATATTAAGAGAGAAGAGCAGTATTACCACTTCAATTTAGGATTGATTTGAAGTTTAAATAGTCTCAAGAGGTAGACGTAGACGAAGTTGTTACTGGTTCATACATAACTCTAAAGTTAATTGAGTTTATTGGTCTTTTTTTTACATTCGATCCGTCTTTGTTCACATAAGAATAGGTATAACTAATTTTTTTATTTTTTGGTATATTAAACTTATAACAATTCCCCTTTTTCGATTCTCATATATATATATATATATATATATATACATACAAAAATAAGAGGAATAGAAAGGACAATTGATAAATTGATTGGTTTTAGGGATTTAACACTGTCTCTCATACTTCTGTGATTTGATTATTTCGTTGCGGGAAGCAAATATAAAAATAAAAATAAAACATATCCAATGTCTTCAGATAACTCTATCGGTGCCTTTGTGGCCAGAAATAAAACTGCTATCATAGCTACCGTTGCTGCAGGTACCACCGCAGTGGCTGCCTATTACTATTACTCTCAATTGCAACAACAACAACAACAACAACAAAAGGGTTCAGATGACTCCGTATCTAAAAAGAAGAAGAAAAATAAAAAGAAGAAAAACTCCTCTTCTTCTGCTAAACCTTGTTATCCAATCGATTCAAACGGTGAACCTGATTTAAAAGATAGTGCTAACTTCACCGAAGAACAAAAGGAAACTTACTCAGTGGCTTTGAAAGATAAAGGTAACCAATTCTTTAAAGAACAGAAATATGAAGATGCATTGAAATACTATAACTACGCCTTGGATTTGAAACAAGATCCAGTCTTCTACTCCAACATCTCCGCATGTTATGTCTCTCTAGGTAATTTGGAAAAAGTCGTCGAAAGTAGTACTAAAGCTTTGGAATTGAAACCAGATTATTCAAAGGCTTTGTTGCGTAGAGCTTCTGCTAATGAAAATTTGGAAAACTTCGCAGAAGCAATGTTCGATCTATCTGTCTTGTCTTTGAACGGTGACTTTAACGAAGCTTCTATCGAACCAATGTTGGAAAGAAACTTGAATAAGCAAGCTATGAGAGTTTTGAAAGATAAAATGAGCAGTGACGCAAAGCAACAATTACCTTCAAACACTTTCTTGGCTTCTTTCTTCGGTATCTTCACTCCAGAAACTACATTGAAAAACTTCGATGAATCCAATGAAGCGGATGTAGAATTACTGAATGCTTTGGTCAATTTGTACAAAAGAAAGTCAGAAAGTTATTTGATTGCCGATGAATCCTTCTCTAAAGCTGCTGAATCTTACGTTAAACAATTGGAAGCTAACCCAGATGATGAAGTATTAAAGGAAAAAACAGCTACTGCCCTTGAATATAATGGTATTTTTAAATTTTTGAAAAACGATCCTTTGGGTTCTCATGAAGACATTCAAAGATCAATTGAATTGCATCCAAGAGTCAATGCTTATATCTACAGTGCATTGATTATGGCTGATAAAGGTGAATCTAAAAACTATTTCGACTTCTTTGACAAAGCCTTGGACGTCGATCCAAACTCCGCCCCAGTTTACTACCACAGAGGTCAAATGCATTTCTTGTCTCAACAATACGAGAAAGCTGCTGCTGATTTTGAAAAAGCTAAAGAATCTGATAGTTCTAACATTTTCCCATACATTCAATTGGCCTGCCTGACTTATCACGAAGGTAAATTCGATGACTGTGAAACTTTATTCAGTGAAGCTAAGAGAAAGTTCCCAACTGCCCCAGAAGTTCCAAACTTTTATGCCGAAGTTCTAACTGATAAGGGTGACTTTGATGCTGCCTCTAAGCAATACGATATTGCCAAGAGATTAGAAGAATCTTTAGATGCAATCCACGTCGGTGTATCTCCTTTGGTTGGTAAAGCTACATTATTAGCCAGACAACCAACTGTAGAGAATTTGTTGGAATCTACTACTTTACTAGAGGAAGCATGCAAAATGGATTCAAGATCTGAACAAGCCAAAATCGGTCTAGCTCAATTGAAACTACAACAAGAAGAAATCGATGAAGCAATCACTTTGTTTGAAGAAGCATCTGATTTGGCCAGAAATATGGAAGAAAAATTACAAGCTACTACTTTCGCAGAAGCTTCAAAAGTTCAAAAGAAAATCAGAGCTGATCCAGTTGTCAACGCCAAAATTCAAGCTACCTTAGCTGCTTATCGTGAACAAGGTTTGATTTAAATCTGAAAGTTCTTCTCCTTCCATCCCATTTATATATCTTGATGTTTTTCATACGACACTACTGTAAATATCGAAAATATTAGCTCTAAATTAGAAGCCCTCATAAAAATATAATTATTTAATTACGTAACTTTCAACATGAGATCAATTTAATTTATCGACTCTTCTTAATCAATTTATCAATAACTTTTAAAATAAGAATTATTATATAATTTTGTGAACTGACCTATGTTATACTATACAATAACTAGATAATTGTCTCGAGGTGACAAAATAATTTTAAATAATGCAGGTTTTAGAAAACAGTCTGAGTCATTAATCACTCTTAATGATTTTTTTCTCTTCGGTTTTATTAAGTTCATTCTCTATCCACTTGCCAGACTCTATGTTTTTCTTTAACTCAGTTGTTGGGAAGTAGTGATAATTGGTTTTCAAAGAAATTGCAAATGGTACATTATCAAATGTCATTAATCTCATTTTACAATAGGTATTATCTGGAATTTGTTTTATGACCTTTAAAAATGTGTCGAGATCAGGAGTTTCTGTTTCATTAACGTGTGTGATAAAGTTTGTTGCAGATATACCAAACTGAAGAGCAGGAGAAGATTCTCCTCTAAATGTGCAATAAACCCCACTTGGAATATTCATCATGGATTGCCAAACCGCATGGTGTGGAGGTTGTAAAATAGAGCCGGAAAATACAGCAATTTGGCTTGTCTCCTTCACGTATATAGTTTTAATGTTCAAGTCAATAATCTTTCCTTCACGGACAACTTTAAATCTCAAGGTTTGGCTTTCTTCGTCATCAGCAGTAGATACAACACCATCCAATTGACTCATTTCAGTTACCAATTTATCGTTGACAGCTAGAATAACATCACCTGTTTGTAACTTTACTGGTTCTTCAGTAAAAGAAACTCTTGAAACAGAAATAAATTGTAACCTATTTTCAGACTGCAGCTCCATTTTTTTAATCCATTCTTCTGGAACACCTCTAATTCTAGCTGTCAGGATAGAGATTGCACCAAAGCCTGCATCGATTATACTAACTTTAGGCTTTTTACCTTCCTTTAGTAATTCGATTACTTCTTTACAGTCTGTGATATCTAAACTCATCAAGTAAATTTTGTCTTTATTGTCTTGTCTTTCACCCAAAAACGATAACCATAGCGCTCTGATAGTACCATCATTATCTGTCAAAATACCAGAATTACATTTTGTACTTACATTACAATCAATTGAAATTGCTTCCAAATTAGTTGCACGGTATCTTGGAATTATATTACTTGGAATACTAATAGAAGAAATATCGGTAACTGAAGTTTCAGAGGTAACTAATCTGTTGTTATGGGTGAAACCAATAAAACGGGTTCTGTCACCACGTTTCATCGGGGTATTTGAGAGTTTAGGTGTAATTATATTGGCATTTACCAAATTGATATCATATTTGATTATTGCATAATTTTTAGTAGGATGCAAAAATACAATAGAAGCAGGTATCATAACAGAATCGGCAAAAGTAACGAATACATCTAGACAATCGTGTGGAACAGCTCTACGAGACACGATGATATAACCTTGTTCAGCATCAATGACTAAGCCAGATGTCTTCACGTTTTCTACAGGTAACGAATCCAAAGGAATTGCTGACACGGTGCTAACCATACATAAAGAATGTGACAAAGTTGCTATTTCAGGGATATCGATTGGGATATCGATAAATTTGGCAGCATGTGGTTTCAATTCTTCCGCTTTGATTGGTTCTGCGACATTCTCATAATCCCAAATACCAGTAACATCATTTCTCTTGTACAACCTAAATTCACTACACCAATGTCTATCGATATAAATTGAAGTAACATGAATTGTATGTTGATCTGTTAAATGATGGTATCTTAAAGTTACCCTTTGTCTGTCTGGAATAGTTTTCATGACTTCAATAAAGGTATCCAAGTTTGGTGTTTCTTTATTATCAATGGAATCAACAATCCATCCAACTCTTTCATTAGCATCGATGTTAAAGGATCCTGAAGCACTGCTAATGAAAACACCCCTGACAGGCATACCGTAAAATCTTGCCATTTGATATGATAATTCGTGGAAGGTTGCACCACAAACTTCAACATATCTATCAGGTGTAATAGAATGTAGGTCACCAACTTCGCATTTTACAGTATGTTCGATACCACCACGTTGGATAATAATTTCAATCTCTTTTCCAATACTTTCGTCCAAGATATCATCGACTTGAATGAATGAGGAAATCAGCTCGCCATTAATTGAAATTAATGTATCACCTTCTTTTATCTTGATATCAGATGGGCCTTCTCTTAAAATAGTTTCAGCGACTAGCAGACCTATTTTATCAGGGAACTGTGCACGGGCTTGACTTTCCCTATCTGCTGTCAAACCTAACCTTCTACATTCATCAAAAGGTTTTAATAGCCATTGCAGCTGAATAGTACCACGAGTAATTGGTTTGTTTGATTGTAAACATTTTAAAGCTCTTAAGATTCTATCCAATGGAAGGAAAAAATCGGTGGATGCTTCTGTGGAACCACCAGCCTGTAGTGCAACAGCATAACCATCGCTATTCACAACTGGAGAACCACTTGAACCACCAGAAGCTGCAGCTGCAGCTTGGATATACTCTGTATTGAAATCATTGTAAGTTAATTCACCGTAATCAGGTGCATTTCTATCTAACCTACTGATAAACCCAGATAAAATACTCAATTTTTCACCAGCATCATTACCAACAACTCTGATCTCTGACCCAACTTTAGCTAAAGAAGGTTTCAATTCTAGCGCTTGAATGTTCATATATTTGATCTTTGTTGGATCAAATTTTAAAAAACCAAAATCATGAACAGGATCTCTGTAGATTGGAGTCACATCACATTCTTCATGATTATCGAAAACTGCGTATCCAACAAATGGACCAGGACCAACAACATGTCTATTTGTCAATATTATACCCAATGAGGCATCGACAACAAACCCAGTAGCTTGAGATACAACAGCATTATCAGAATCAAATGGCGCCACCTGTGAAAAATGGATTGAAACAACAGATTTGACAACTTTGGCAATGGTGTTCTGCCACTTCAAATAAGTCTCAGCATCACCATAACTACTTATGTTAACTGGAATTTCAGAATCAACCTCTTCAACCATTACAATCTCATCGGTAGTATATGAATTTCTAGTTTTGGCAGGAGCTTCAGGGTCACTTCCCTCAGAAACTTCAGATAAACTTCTTTTCCTATTGGAATTTGTCACACTCATCAGATTCTAAATGTATCGTCTTGGTTACCTTACTGGTTATCATACAATTCAAAATTTAAACTAAACTTATACTTCTTACAATGCTTGAGATGACTTCGATATATTTATCTTATATACAAACTTTTGATGTGAAGAAATTGCATCGCTAAATACGATGCGATGGAAATGCTAAAAGGTAATAGTTATTACCAAAGAACGACATCGACTATGAATTAACATGGATAAAACGTTGTTCATATGCGTTTAAAACTTTATTATTTTATTCAATTGTTTTGGATTAGTGATAAATCCTGTTTTATTTTTTTCAACCAAGTATTATATTGATCATCAGAGACCAAAATATTGTTTGATTGTAACATTGAACCTAATTTAGCAGATATCGATTCTTCATAATTCGCACCATCAAAATAATCATATTTAATTTGTAATTCACGGAACCATTTTTCACCTTCAATTAACTCTTTAACTATCGTCATTGATTCCATTACCTCGTTGACTTTGACTGTTTTCATTAAAATGCACATTTTCTCTAAAATTAAGTGATCTAATCTTGGATCTTTACGTCTTTTTTCATTGTATACAACAAAGACACAATTCAATACTAGTCCACATGCTAATTGCCAAGGACAAACCAAATATGATGATAACGCAGTAAATTCATCCAGAACCGAATAGGCAACCTCTTCAGGTAGTTCAAATTCATTGCACAAATTGATGATTCCTTCGATTTTAATCTTAAAATGTCTTTTTCGTAGCAAATTTGTTACATTACTTCTACTTCTTGATTTTTTTCCTCGTTGATCACTTCTTGTACCTTTAGTTGATGATCTTCGTCTAGACTTTGCTTCTAAATCGCTGAGATCCTCCTCACTTTCGTCTAAGGGCTCTAGATCTTCATCAGATGAAGAATTTGATTCACTCTCTTGATAGTCATCATTATCCTGAGCTTTATCATTGGAGACTTTAGCTAAATTGGATAAAGTTTTCATTTTCTTAGGAGATGGACTGTTTTTAACAGGTGATAAATTCATTTCATCATTCTCCACATCTTCTTCGAATGCTAGTTTTCTTCTAACTCTTGGACTAGCATTTTTTCCTGGTGAACTGTTTGGAGTCTCAAAAACTTGTTCCTTTATTGGGCTTGCTCCATTTTTCCTCTTGGTTGGTGTATTAAACAGAACTTTTCTTAAATCTTCTGGGTTTGTCGAAGTAAACTTATTTGAACTTTTCACTGGGGATCTGGGTCTCTTCTTAGGACTTGGAGTCCAATTAAATTGTTTGACCGGAGAAGTTTGGAAAATATTCTGTTTGAATAGCTCGATAAAACCTTTAAATTTTTTAGGTTGCATAGGAACTTTATCAACACTACAGGTCAGATCCACGTCATATTTATCCATCAAACGCTCAGCAGCAATGAATGCACAAATATGGCACCTAGCGGTTTCTTCATCTTGCTTCAACATAACTTTTCCCAAAGATGCATTATATAATGTAGAAGTAGCACTAAGCATCTTTTTCAAATGGCCCTTTGACCAATCATTGTTTCCATCCTCATTCAACCTCAATACATCGATCAGGCATCTTTGTACCTGCTTCGATGACATTTAGCTCCCAGAGTCACTTATCCTACGTTGTCTAATCTTTTAAATAATTACCTGAATCGAACAACTTCTTGATCAATTAAACTGTTTCGAATTGAAAAGATCTCTTGGTGCTCACACTAACGCATACAAAAGTTCGATCCTATAGATTTCAAACCTACAATTATTGATCGGAAGAAACTTGAACTGGTTCTTACTATCAATCATATTTAAATCTTGATGAAAGTACTTGATGATGCTTATGATGCTGATGATCTTAATTTACCATATGCATTGCGACATAGTGTTGTCACGTGATTGGATTCGTTTCCAATGATTCATATCACGTGGTTTATGTCACTAACAAGCCTGTCACAGGTAACAGTGTCTGTCTATTCCTATACTATACTTGTGAGTTACCAACTAAACAATATCAGGTAAAGTGAGCAGAATAAATACTTAACTTTAGCCCTTTTGTATGTTTTCTAGTTCTGGATCTTAATGAAAACAGACAGTGATCTACCATACATTCTACACACGTGACTGACAATAATAGTTATGGTGCAGGGTAATAAACGCAACGTAGTAAACAGTATGCTAATCTACGGTAAACTAGAGTCCTCATCTGTAATGCAACAGCAATTCTGAACTATTTTATTAACACATTTTATATTAAATTATATATATACCAGCATCGATGTATTATATCTACGTATTAAGTATTATCTCATATCAACCAATATAAATCTCATCTGTAACCGTAGATTAAAGAAGTCGTGAGTGGATCTTGGACAAGGATGGAACCTCACCTCCCTCCCGCCAACGTTTATAAGTAAGAAATTGGGATAATCTTTTGGGAATCCAACTCACCAATAAGGCTGTCTCTTGCCAATCGATGTCAGCTTTGAGTACCTTTAGTGACGTGTAGCCTATGACGTCCTTCGTGACTATAGTGTCCACGTGACTGCATATCTCATCTGTTATACCAGAGAAACCACCGCAGTACCAGTACCAAAAGCAATGGCAGTCTGTGCTCACGTGATCTCAACCTTCTCTGAAACATTTTTTTTTCTTTTGGAGCAAGTGATTAATTTTGAACCCCATCGCGATAAATAAGAACATTTTTACTAATATTTAAACATACAAGTGATGAAACTATTGATTAATTTTAGTATTTTATTGGAGTTATATAAGGTTTTGAAGTACTGTGAGTGTGTCGAGGTTAGTTTTAATTAACCAGGTTTGTTTTGTGTTCTGCTTTTTTGTTGGAACGAGAAGCTATGTCTGGATCATATAGACGACCTTATCAATCATCTGGACCTTCGCATAGACAATACCAATATAACCAGCAGCAGAGACCCTATGCTAATCAGTATAATGGGAGAAGGAATAACTATGACTTCTATAATGACCATAGACAAGGTCATTATGGGGGGCATTCTTATAACAGTTCTTATGGTGGTAATGGGTACCCTTATCGCCATGGGATGAGCAATAGCCCTATGCATAGCAATAACAGTAGTAATAGTAGCAATAGTAATAATAATAATAACAACAATAATAATATTAATAACATTCATAATACTGACAATGGTGGTGCCATGGATAGTAATGATTATTACAACTCTATTGGTGATATACGGTCTTACAGTGGAGTATCAAGGAATAATGAGAGCAAGGAATTTTTGAAATTAGTTAGACCTCAACCTGTAATACGTTATGATACCAATTTTTATAAATCAAAGTATCATTATTTTGATCCTGTTACTAAAATGTTAATACACCAACAAGAGATGTCCAATTGGAGGAATAATGAAGAAATGCCCACAAATGGATTTGTACTAGTACATGAAAACCATAACGGCGCTATTCGTTCAATAATGAGAGGGATTGATTATAATGGATGTTCAAAAGATCCAAGAACGTCATCAAATTTCACTTCTAATACCTCTAGAAGCAAAGTTAAAAATACCTTAAAGACATTACCTTCAATACCATATGATAAATTTTCCGTTGGCCCTCCACCTCCAACTGAGATCGTAATCTATCCAGCCTCAACAATTAACATGATCTCGGAATTATCTGTTAAAAACTATTTTAAAGAGTTTGGTGAAATTTCACATTTTGAAGTATTCAATGACCCAAACAGTGCATTGTCGTTAAACGTTTACCTTGTGAGATATAACAGTCCTGATGGGAAATTAAAAAACGCCATTAAAGCAGCTAAGTACGCAGTTCAAAAACATGAGGAAAAGGGATGTTCGATATTGGGTTGTCATTTCAACGTTGTTCTAAACAAAGACAACGTTATCAAATCGATAATTTCTAAATTCGTCCAAGAGAATTTAAAGAAAGCAAAAGATATAAACATTGATGAACGAAATAAGAATGATAAAGAAAGAAAAATTGTAGATATCGCTCCAAAAAATAACTTTCAGGATAGAAGAATTCCTCTCGATATAAAAGATATTGTAAATAATAGACCTGTGTTATTTGTACCAAAAAGTTTTACATCAATCCATAGTTTTAGAGTAGAAGATTTTAAGCTAAAATTGAGAAAATATAGATGGGCTAGAATCCTAGACCACCAAGCTGGCATATATATAGTTTTCAATGATCTGGTCCATGCCAGGAGTTGCATGAATGCAGAATCTGGTATTATGACTTTGATATCAAGATCAAGAAATATCCCAATTGAGGTTAGATTAAAATTATTAGCACCAGAACCAATCCCAACACCAGTTAGTAAACCAACAAAGTCGATAGTGGGAGAACTCAAATTTCCAACCAAACCTGCAGCAAAGGTTTACAGTTCAAAAAAGGATATAGTTGCAACAGCTATGAAAATGATCACTAGAGATTTGGAAAATGCCTTGAGTATAGATATAAGAAGAAAAATTATCGGTCCAGTAGTATTCGATGGATTAAATTCTTCGAATTATCCAGAATTGGTAAAAAAGAAAGAACTTAATGAACTAGAAAAACTAAACAAGAAAAAGGATCTAGAAACTAAAAAAACAGAAGCTAAAGAAGAAAGAAGTAAGTTTGATTTGTTTGATCTTTATGGTGGATATGTTAAAAGTAATAAGAAGAGACGCGCTTCAGATAATTTGGAAAAGGCAAATAGAAAAAGAAGAGGTTCCATTGATAACAAACCAACAGCGCATATGCTCAATGAAGATACCATATCTAAGGAATCTACACCTCTGGAGTATTCGGCTTCTCTATCAAGATTTTCTGGAGACGAAGCATTGTTATCTGAGGAATCTTCTATTGAATCAGAAGATGAAGTGACAGAAAGCACCAAAAGTGAAGAAGAAACTATTAAGGAAGAAGAGACAAAATTTGATGAGGAAAAGGAAGCTGGAATAGGAAAAGAACTAAATGTGGAAGAAAAAGAAGGAGAGGAAGAAGAGTTTTCGCATGCCAAGGTTGAAAATGAACTATCGAATCAAATATATGCCCCAATTGCATCAGTCTATCCTGAACCAGTTTATTCTTATGAATTGTTCGAGCTTGAAAGTGAATCTGCTGTTATTTCGGTAGAAGATTTGCAAAGTGTTGTAAAGGATGAGGAAGATATGAAGTATTTGAGAAAAGTCTGTGAAACTGATTCTATTCCTACTGTCTCTGCTCAAATTGCCGCTTCATTTGAATATGAACTATGGAAACTGCGTAGATTCAATAAGATGAAAGCTAAGATATCGGAAAAACATTTAGAACTTAATGAAGTTCCATATGATTCATCTTTGGATAATGGTGACAAAGCTTTTAAGGCGGTTGGCTTCAAGAAAGTTCCAGATAGAATCAAATCATGCTATCTACCTCATCGTCGTAAATTGCACCAGCCTTTGAATACAGTCAATATTCATAATGATACTTTGGAGAAACAACGTAGTAATCAAGCAGATGATATGGATAAGGCTGATAGTTCTGAAGTAAGTGCTGAAGTTTCATCTTCAAGAGTTAATAGGGCTATAAATAGAAGGTTCCAACAAGATATCGAAGCTCAAAAAGCCGCAATTGGTACAGAATCCGAACTTTTGTCATTGAATCAATTAAACAAACGTAAGAAGCCAGTTACATTTGCTCGCTCAGCAATTCACAACTGGGGTTTATATGCATTAGAGCCTATTGCTGCAAAGGAAATGATCATCGAATATGTGGGGGAACGTATCAGACAGCCGGTAGCAGAAATGAGAGAAAGAAGGTACATTAAAAACGGTATTGGTTCGAGTTATTTATTCAGGGTAGACGAAAATACTGTCATAGATGCGACGAAAAGGGGAGGTATTGCAAGATTTATCAATCATTGTTGCGATCCAAGCTGTACTGCTAAAATTATTAAAGTGGGTGGTATGAAAAGAATCGTCATCTATGCGTTACGTGATATTGCTTCAAATGAAGAATTGACTTACGATTATAAATTCGAGCGTGAAATGGATGACAAAGAAAGGCTACCGTGTCTATGTGGTGCCGCAACTTGTAAAGGTTTCTTGAATTAAATTCCAAATCCAAAACATTCGAGTTTTTCGTTTCATTTCCTACTTTTGACTTTAATTAAGCATTGCATTTTGTTATATAAAATATAAAAAATACTGTATATTCTATAGAGATATTATTTCATTAAAAGGCCGGTATCACTATCAAAATATAATAAAAGATACTTCAAACACATTTTTTTTTATCATTCTTTCTCAAATTAATATCACTTGCAGAACTTAGCTCATCGCGCTGCTAATATCAATATTTTTATAATACTCGATATAAAAATATTGGGATCTTAATAGAAGAGATAAAATAAATCCTGATGGTCTATCCCATGGAATTATAAGAAGGTTAACAGTTCATTAGAGGTTGGGCTAAACTATGTTGATCGTTGTTCGGTTTCTGTAAATGTTTTAAGATGTTGAATGTACGACCTGGTGGTTCTACAAGATTAATAGTACGAATATTTAAATCAAGCACTATATACAATTCAATAAGACATCAAAGTCAGATAACAAACGATATTGGTAAACCAATAGTGACAAAAATATCAATTCCAATTAGTTCAATTCGATATACAAATCCAGTTACTTCTGAAAGTGTTGATGTTCAAAATCTACCTGTAAATAGAAAATCTGTTAAGAAAGATTTAGGAGATATTGATAAGAAGGCCACGAAAATCCAGGAACTTCCTCCATCTTTACAATATGTGAGAGAATTGATAGATCATTATAAGGAAAATGTTGTACTCACTCAAATGGGTTCTTTTTATGAGTTATATTTTGAGCATGCTACAAAATATGCTCCTCAATTAAATATATCATTAACCTCTAGGAATTATAGTCGTGGTGTAGTCCCATTTGCTGGATTCCCAGTCAGTCAGTTGAGTAGATATTTAAAAGTTTTAGTTAACGATTATGGATACAGTGTTGTTATTGCTCAACAGTTTAAAAAAGATGGGATTGCAGACAATGATGTTAATAAATTTTACAGACGAGTAACGAGGATTGTAACACCAGGAACATTTATAGACGAAGCATTTCAAAACCTTCAAGGAAACAGTTATCTTTTATCTATTGAATTCCCTGAAAACTGTATGGACAAAATATCGAATCCTGACATGTTGGTTGGACTAAGTTGGTGTGACGTATCTACAGGTGAACTACTGGTACAACAAGTCACTTTAAAAGATTTAATATCAGCAGTCACTAGAATCCAGCCTAAAGAAATACTTTTGGATGAAGAAATCATTAAATATAAGATTGAAAGTGGTGATTGGTATCCAGAGCTAGTAGAGTTGAAAAAATATTTTTTAAAGTACCAAAAATTACCATCAAGGCATAGAACAATGGATTCTTTTTATCCATTGTTTTCATCATCAGAATGCGAATCAACATTGAAGTTATTAAAAATACAACTACACTCCCTTGCACAAAAGGAATTAGCATCATTGAGAAATTTATTAATTTATGTTAGTGAGCACTTGCCTGATTTCTCAATGAATTTTGAAATTCCCCAAAGACAATCTGTAACCTCAATAATGCAGATAGATTCAAGAACTAGCACAGCTCTTGAGTTACATGCAACTGTAAGAGACGGTTCAAAGCGAGGATCACTGTTATCAAGTTTAAGAAGAACTGTGACACCAACTGGTACAAGAATACTTACACAGTGGCTATCAGGCCCTTCATTAGATCTTGAGGAAATCAAAAATAGGCAAAATGTCGTTAAATATTTTAAAGAAAATACAGAAGTAACCAGAAAATTGATTCTGATGTTAAAATCTATGAGTGATATTTCCAGAATTTTGCAAAGGTTTAGTTTTGGTCAGGGGGATGCAATGGAATTACTTGGATTAGTAAAATCATTGAAGTCGGCAAAAGAGATACAGCAATACTTATTAAAAGAAATAGATATTCCTGGAAAGAAAACTAAAAAGTTGATTAAAAATATAGCAGATGGTTTAGTATTTGATGAAACTATAACTGATGAAGTATTAACTTGTTTAAATGAAAATGCAATCAAGAAATTTTATTTGCAAGATAATCTTGATGAGATAGATGAATCTGATAAGAATGGAGATTATGATGAATCAGCAACTTCATGGATGATTAATCCAAACTATAATGAAAATTTGAGAAAATGGCATGATGAATATGAAACTTTAATTCAAGAAAAGGCAAATCTGAAAAACGTGTATAAAAGCTTCTTTTTAGATGAATATGGAGCCAGAAATATTTATTTGAAACAAAAACAATCTAGCGAATATCTTATACATCTAATGGGATCTAGTTCTTCTTTATTGAAATTGAATAGTTTTATAGGAGAGGAACGTCATTTGAAGGAACACCCGATTAAAATACTTCAAAAATCAGCTCAATCTCGGTGGCTATACCATAAACCTTGGGCAGATTTGGGATGTAAAATCGAGTTAGTTCAGATAAGAATAAATCAAGAAGAAAACGAAATACTAAGGAACATAAAGAAAAGGTTTGTAAATAGAAGCAATAATATTCGTCTAATCTCAGGTAAGCTAGGCTATTTGGATGTTTTGCTGTCATTTGCTACTTTGGCGAAAGAAAAGGGTCTAGTGTGTCCTAAAATAGATAAAAGTGATAAGTTGGAAATATTAGGTGGAAGGCATATTATGGTCGAAGAAGGGCTATCGTCTAGCTCTTTGGAAGGATTTGTTAAAAATGACTGTACTTTAAGTGAAGGTGATCTATGGGTTATTACTGGACCTAACATGGGTGGGAAATCGACATATCTAAGACAGAATGCCATCATGGTAATTTTAGCTCAAATTGGTTGCTTTCTGCCATGTACAAGTGCCCATATCGGTTTAGTTGATAAAATTTTTAGTAGAGTTGGTTCAGCAGATGACTTATACAATGAGTTAAGCACATTTATGGTTGAAATGATAGAAACTTCATTTATTCTACAAGGCGCTACAAATAGGTCATTGGCCATCTTAGATGAAATTGGGCGTGGTACAAGTGGAAAGGAAGGTACCAGCATAGCATTTGCGACATTAAAATACTTAATCAAGCATAATCGCTGCAGAACCTTGTTTGCAACTCATTTTGGGAGAGAGTTAAAAGCAATCATTGATGAACAAAATGATGAGATATTAAAGAGGAAAATAAGATTCTTCAAAACAGGTATTGTCGAAATGAATGAAACAAGTTTTTACTACGATCATAAATTAAAAGAAGGCGTCTGTATGAATTCTGATGCTATTCGAGTTGCAAAAAGCGCAGGATTCCCAGAAGAGGCTCTAAAAGATGCTAATGAATTATTATCAAAGTCAATGTAGTATTAAATAAATTATATAGAAAATGACATACGTAAAATAAGGGTAATCTCTGGAACGCTAATAGTCATTATATGGCTTATCTTGATTAGATGGCTGATTATTCTTAAATGAATACTGCTGTGTTACCGGTGTAGGTGCTTGTTGATTATGTTGCTGCTGTTGTTGATTATGTTGTTGATTATGTTGTTGTTGTTGTTGCTGCATTAATAATTGATGTAACTGCATTACTTGGTTCATGTTGTTTGGAGGTGGTGGAACCGGTTGGTGATGAGGATAAGAGTATTGATTTTGATAGTGCATGTCATTTGGTCCATTTGGAATATACTGTTGTGAACCATTTGAATGACCTTGATATTGGAACTGTTGATACGGTACCGGTGGTTGAAACTGTGGACCTGGGTTATATGGCTGTTGGGGATAATTCATGTTTGGCGGATAAATTTGATGATGTTGAACCTGTTTTGGATAATTGTTCATATACTGTTCTTGGAACTGGTGGTTTGGATGTGAGTATTCCATATTGTTCCTTGCAGGTTCTTGACGGTTATATGAATTGGACTCTGATTGTACAGGTCTCGATTTGTTTGTTGTGTTGGAATTTACTTGTTGGCGCTGATCCCTTGATCTATAGCTGCTTTGAGGTGTTTCGTTAGGGAATTTCATGGAGGGATACTGTTTTATTTTGTGGGTTGAGTTATTTTTTAAAGGTTGTTTATGCACCCTATTGGTAACATTTTCTGAATTATCTGAACTACGTGTAGAATTTTTGTTCTTCTTTTGTTTCTTCTTCATTTTTTTAAACATTGATTCCTTTTCATCATCGGAGAATTCTTGTTCTTCTTCTGGTAACTCTTCATCATAGCCGTTTGAAGCATCAGTTCCCTTAACTTTTTTCAATTCAAATGTATCTAGCCAATGAGCATCTCTAATTACATAGAAGACATCTTCACCTATTTTTTCTTTTAGATTATCAGTGGAATCTTTATTTGATGCAACTATTCTATAAAGAGGGTTTGTTAATTTACCAAACACTTCGGCTAAAGTTCCTATGATTGTACGATCATTTAAACAGAAGATGGTGCCTTCTTTAAGAATTCTATTTTCACCAGATCCAGAAAGTTCTACAATAATATCTTTATCAATAACAGATTTAATCTTACCAATATTTTTAATTTCTGTAGATATATCAATTAAATAGTCTTCTGGCACACCAATAACTGGTTCTTCTGTAAGTTCGTTTTTGGATCTAATAGGACCATCAATGGCTTCTTCCTCGATATCACTTTCAGCAGCAGCTTCGTTATCATTATCATCATCATCAGAAGTCTCGGAATCGTCGCCCTCAGAAGAAGACGATAATGATGATGAGCTTGAAGGTGAGCTGGATTCTGAAGCTTCGTTGTCGCCTTTTGCTATATCTTCATTTATGTCTCCAACCTTTTCCTCTTTTTTTGACTCAGATTCTTCATCACTACTTGATATATCTCCTATGTCAATATCATCATGCAAAGGCAAAAGTTCATTCTTTCTCTCTCCATTTTCTTCCAAAGCTTTAGCAAATAGGTCCTCACTCATATTTCCAGTTTATACACCACAAAGCTAGACCTCTTGTTCTCAAATGTATCTATTAGATCTTATTACAGTGAAACCAAATATAATGCTCAACATTGATAACCAGAGGGGTCATACTTTTATCAAATCAATCATTCATATCATAGCTCTTTGGTTTAATTCAACCTCATCGCTAACTTTTGAATAATTTTTCATATTTTGTCTTGAATTTTTATTGTCGAGATGATCACATTTCTTTTTTTTGTCATAAAAAAACATGAATTAAATGCGTTCGTAGCTATATCTGTCAAGTGTAATTTCAGTCACATGATAATTGCTTTTTCCTTTTTTTTGTCCTATGACAAAAGCAATTCTCAAAAAAGAAAAAAAACATTTTTCGAGCTTGTGTAATACAGCTATGGGTGTTTCTGGGCACTATCAGTATTCTTCACGTAGTAATTGTTTTTTTTATTTTCTTTTTTTTCATTCTTTCATATTCCTCCGAAGTTACACAGAAACAAATTAACAAAAAACTAAAATATTGCTGCGGCTTTTGTTATTTAACTTGAATTTTTTGGTCTCGAGGAACAGTAATTAGATGTATTGGTTACCCTTTTAGGTAGTAATTGCGATGCCCACAGTTAAAAATAGAGAGATTCAGTATGACGACGGCACCCAATCAATACTCACCAAAAATGATACAGCCAAATAAAATAAGAAAGATTTAATCAAAACCTATACAAAAAAATGGGAAGAGGGAAGGGATGACGTCTCTCCATATTTTGATTCCTGTAACCTTCTGTTGTTGTGGCTCTGATGAGATGAGTTGAATGATTTAAATCTTTCCAGGCTAGTGTTGGCTTTGCAAAGGCTATCTACTGAGTAAATGTATTGTTAGCACCTGCATACAATGGAATTTCGTTAGCGTTTTCGTAGGATAGTGAAGTTAGTAACCAAGATAATGAGTGGCATTAGGGAATATTCAATGAGTAATAATAACAATTTTGTTTGACAGTTAATTTCTTCTGTTATTATTTTTGCCAAGTTTCAGAACAAGATCATGTTTGATTAACTCTTACTTTCATATGTTGTAAGTAACACATGATCAGAAGTTGGTAGGTGTGGTAACTAATGGGATGATTTTGAGTTTGCTAGAGACAATTCCATTGAGTACTTTCATTTCGGATTTATTTTCATCTCGTCTGAGTGCTGTCCGATATGTGTTTGTTGCCTTATTCTGGAAATAGCAGGCTGAATTGTGTGGGTAAATGCATCTTCTATTACTATGGTATGTATCTCATCCTTCATTTCTAAGTTTTTGTTTTTTGGAAAAAGTTCAACGGCACTAATTAACGAATTAATTAGTCAGGTTTATATATGTATTTTTTAAACCATATATTATGAGAACTTTCTTCAATTTAGATACTATCGGTTAAGTTTCTCTATCCTCAAAAGCTTTTTATGTAATATCCCACTTCACTAGCTTCAAGATTAATATATATATATTTTTTTAGTATACTGTAACTACTTAAAATATAATAATAATAACAAGAAATCAGTAAAAAGGGAGGCTTATTAATTAAAAGCACTATAATAATAATTATTTTGGTTTTTTTAGTTTAAAGCTTACAATTGTGTTTTTTGTAAGGTGTTGGATACTGCGCGGATTTCACACTACGCCATTTATCGAAGTTGAGATCGGTATTGTTAGCTTCTTATTTGATTGATTGTAGCGGTAATACGGCTTAGTACATATTCCTTTTACAAATGTCGGAAACTAATAGTAGTCAAGATCAGGTAAGTTCTATAGTCAGTTCTGTAATTTCTTCTATAGATCAAGAGAATGCAATTGGAATTCATGAGAAAACTTTGAATTCAGAAGATTCAAATCATATTTTAGCTCCACAATCCCGCCTATCACTTGGCCTTTCAAGAACAGCATCGCATATAGAAAGGACTATTAGCAACGCTGTACATGGTATATTAGTGAAAGGAGGGCCAAGTGAAGACACTGGTGCAATTGATGATAATACTGCCAATGAATATTTGATATCACAATTTAATGTGGGGGATGCATTTCGTCTAATCGATAGTCGAAACGCAGCGTCACAATTACCTTCACATAGCGATGAAGAATCAAATATATATGAGCCATCTATAACTAGTTATAGAACAAAATTAAATCACGATGATCAAAGTTCGAGTTTCGATAATGGTATTACTCGTAGAATAACCGAAAACCAGGACTATGATGGTGATGATGATGATGGTGTGTCAATAGTTCAGAAAGTCTTCACAAACCACTCAACTGGTAAAGTAGAGTTGCCTCCAGATGGTGGTTATGGTTGGGTTTCAGTATTCTGTGTTACATTAATTATGTTTTCGACTTGGGGCTGTAACTCAAGTTTTGGTATATTTTTATCCTTTTATTTATCAAATGGTACATTCCCAAATGCCACAAGGTATGATTATGCTTTAATTGGTGGTTTGACAGTCTTTCTTGCTCAATTATTAAGTCCCTTTGTAATGATATTAATGAGAACTATTGGATATAAAGTTACAATGCTATTTGGTACTGCTCTGATGTTTTCAGGTTTTCTCCTAGCATCTTATGCTACCAAATTATGGCATCTATATATTACACAGGGCTTTCTAATTGGTGTATCAATTTGTTTGATATTTATTCCTGCTACCACAGTCATCCCAGGTTGGTTTTTAAAGAGAAGAGCTGTCGCTATGGGGTTTTCATTAATGGGTACAGGTTTAGGAGGTGTTGTGTATGGTTTGGCAACTAATAAATTGATCCAAGATACTGGCGGAACAGAATGGGCATTGAGATTCTTGGCTATTTCCACAACTTCGACTGTTCTTCTAGCTATTTCATTGATCAAACAACGTAACCCTCAAAAGGCTATTGGTATAAGATCATGGAAGAAAATTCAGAATGAATTTAAAACTATGTTTTCCTTGCGTGTCATTAAGAAACCATTTGTTCCTTTGGTATCAATTTGGTTTACTGCTGCTATTTTCGGATATAATTTAATGGTTTTCACATTAGCGTCTTACGCAGTTGCAAGAGGTTTATCACAACACGATGGTTCCACATTGACAGCCATTTTGAACGGTAGTCAAACAGTGGGTAGGCCTGTTATAGGTCTACTTGGTGACAGATTCGGTAGGATGAATATAACTATTATTTTAAATATCTTTCTAATAATATTTATGTTCGGCTTTTGGATTCCAGCACATACTTTCCTTCAATTGATATTCTTTTCCATTTGTCTAGGATCCTGTGTTGGTGTTGCTAATGTTATGAATACTGTTTTGATTGCAGATATGACTGCTCCTGCAGATTTCTTACCTGCTTGGGCATTTGTCAATTACTCTGGATCAGGTTTCTTCTTGGTCGTCGAAGTTATAGCTCAAGCTCTAGTTATTAAAGGTAGCAATCCATATATCCATACCCAAATATTTGCAGGTTTCTGCTTTGTATTGGCACTGCTTGTTATGTTCATACTACGAGAATACGGGGTACGGAAGAACTTAAATGAGAAGTATAAATATTCCAAAAAAATGGACTCTGATTTAGATTTAAAAGAAGAATCTGACACTAAATCTGGTAAGGTTGATTCAGAAACTGTAATTTCTGCAACTACTAGACCCACCCTTGAAAAAGAAGAAAGACTACTAGAGCCTAGTATCAAGAATTACTTCCTCAGAGCCATATACCCTATTAAAGTTTAAGCAAGGCTTCGGATTTTCTATTATTGCAATTCAATTTATACATTATTACCCTTAATATAATAATTACTTCCTTATACTTATCTCATACTTAATATTTAATTAATCATAAGCATTAACAAATAAAAATTTATTAATTATTAACTTATGGTATTTAACATTATATATATAGCAATGAAATATGGAATGCCTAAATATTACAATTCGTAGTTAACGTAAGTATCTACTTAATTTGATCATTTCATCGTTACCATCTGCTCTTAAATCTTTGATTAACAACAGAGACTGTGTCCTGAATTTTTTATATTGTACAACAATATTAGTTAGTACAGTGTTAAACCTTGAAAGTAAGTGGTTCATTTCCTGTTGGCTATGAAGATTTAACTGGATAAGTACTTCATGAGTGACATCATTGAGTGCAGTAAAATGTGTTGAAAATTCATAAATCGAGTTCAATAAGAATATCAAAGATGTTGAATAAGGCTGCTCAGAGAATGTCCCGATTGATTCTGAAGAGGCAGATGCTAATAACTTGTGCGATAACATATTAGACAGGTATTGATTATGAATATTGTCTAACCCATCGATGTTTGGTTCAGAATCATCATCTGAATGTGATTTTTCATGTGTGTTAAACGGTTGATTTTTTGCTTTTAAAATTCCATCAAGCACGATTAATCCACTTTTAAGTTTTATTGTTTTTAAGGAATGGCTAGAATTTTCGGTTTTTGTTGAGGAAAGTTTAGTTTCAAAATCCTTAAAATTCTTGTCTATAATATCTTGAAAACAGTATCTCTCTAGTTTTGAATTGAATTGTTGAATTTGTGATTCTAAAACATTGATTTTAGAAACTTTCGATAAAATATCTCGAACCAATGGTCTGTTCCTTTGTATTTTTTTCAGTTCTCTGATCAACATATTTGACCTTAGTTTTTCTCTTTTTGAAAAATAATTGTTCTTTTTGAATCTCCAAAGGAAATTGAATATTCTCAAATATTCTTTTTTACTATTTTGCCTATTCACATTTAACACTATAGATAATGGAGGCTCGATTATGTAATCTAACGTGAACACATCCCAGCCAATTGATCCATGACCTAAGTCCAATACCCTTGCATCTAACCCATTGATAACAAAATTTCTATCACCCTGGTTTAACCAATTTCTAAAACTTGAATTCTGTACTGCTTCTTGTAAAAATCTGGTCAGTTCGTAGCTGGATAGTGATTCAGATGGTGCGCTAAGAACATCACTAGCTCTTTCTATCAGTACTTCAACGATATCACTTTTTCCCATTAACAATATATCTTTTAGTATATTTACTACTTTCATATAGTGAAACTTTTCTATTAAAACTTTATTGGTATAATCGACTATTTCATGGTATTGCTCATTGATAATGCTGAATAATTCAGGTGAAACCTCTTGAGATTGGATTTGACTATATTTATTACTGTAATCTTTTGAAAATGCATTACAATATTGAAGTTCTTTACAATATTTCTGTAGGAAGATATATGTTTTACCGATGATGACAATTTTGGAAACCATGTTTTTTGGTATGAAATCTGGAATTTTGCTTTTGTTTAAAATGTACGGAATAAATTCAGAATCTTTTGATTCCTGGATGAAAAATTCGTTATTTATTGAAACTAGTTTTCCCAAAGTGAGCCAATTGGTCAAATATTCATAATAATATGATATTAAACTTGAAAACAACCTAATACTTAAATCTTGGACTATAGGATCGCCATGCATTCTCAAATTATTCAATTGTGACAGATAAGCATCACCGTCGGTATCCTCGAAATGTTCCAGAACTTTATTGTAATATCTCAATTGAATAATCTGATCGAAAATCTTGGAATATAAAGATTTCAAGGTAAGTGAATTATTTTTGCTTGATGCTGACAGGCTATTGACAAATCCTGTATAGTTTCTTAAACTCTGGCCAATTTGAACCAATAAAGTTTTCTTCATCGGCGATATACTAATGGATCTATAATGTTCCACGATACTATTCAACCTTTGATATAAAAGACCAGCTTCAAATAATTTATGCAATAATCCACTTTCTGCATTAGCAATGTTTTCGGGTATCCGTATTTTTCCAAATTCCATTGGGAACATATCTGATGTTGTTGCCAATAATGTATAAGGCACATAATTCAACATATCATCTTCAGATCCCAACTTTGTATAGTAAGGTTTAACTAAATTCTCCAAAGTGGAAAGGTTATTAGGATTAAAATTTCTATAAGGTTGGTAACTTTGATGAGATGAAATGGCGGAAAATCTATCTAAATTTTCAAAAGATTCAGCATAAACACTTGGCGATTTCATAGGACTTAAAAGATGGTCATTTCTATTCAAAACTTCTGGGCTCAAAGAATTATGGTTCACCGATATCATAGAGTCTCGTTGTGGTCTTGTAGGTGATAATAAATGTGAATTGGAAAGAAATCTAAACATCTCTTCAGAATTGTCAAAATTTGATATATTCTCTACAATATTTTTCAAAGAATCCCATTTCTTATTATTCTCCAAAGTATAAGGAACCTGCCTTCTATAAATTGCCAAAACAGAATCCAAATGTGAAGAATTCTTATTAGGCGAATGCAAATAACGTGATAAATCATAGGATAACGTTCGAATCGATGGCGGTGGAAGTCCCTGGGGAACGAGCCCTTCCACAATAGACTGTAAATTAACTTCAAAGTTCATAACTTGATCATATAAATCCTGAAATTGAGACGTCAATCCAATCAATACAGCTCTTACAACCACTTTAATCAATTTTCTCTTCTATTATCCACTAAGTTAACCTTTAGTTATTCTATATGTTTGTTTCTTAAATCAATTTGATATTTCGATGAGATAAACAAATGGTTTCGTAATAAGTGATAATAATGTGCAACAGGTTTAAAGTGAACAAAGGGAAAGGATTGATGGTAACTTGGATGTCACCACCAATTAACTGGGTAACGAGTAATTAAGCTGTTCTATGACGATGATATTAGGATATCTATATATGTTAAGTACGTACTTGTGAGGATATTTAAAAGGTTTTGTTTCAATTGCTCCAGCGTTAGCAGAATTGCAGGGTGAAACGCAACGACACCAGGCCAGTTCTAATGAATCAAAGGAAGACCAATAATAAAAAAGAAAACAATTGAAGAGACAGATTGTACATGATTGATGGGGCGGTGATCTGGGTTTCAAATGTTCTCATACGGAATATGTATCGGTTTCTTTATTTAGTAGACACTGGTTTACATTTGTTCTAGTACCGTAACCTAAACCTGCCATGGCTTCTTCGTAATGGAAAAAATTGTAGAATTGTAACAGTGCTCTTAATGCTATTTCTTGACCACACGCATCACTTAGTTCGTTGGATATATCCTTTCCGGTAACCCAGTTATCTATTAGTTCAAGTTTTTCGTACAAGTATACACCAGAAATCAGTTCCATATGCTCTGACTTCCATCTCTTGTTTTTGAATGGCGTCAATTCTTTCACGATCTTTAAAATTGGATGGTATACATCTAGATTAAATGCTCTAAAATATCTTCTGAATAATAATCCGATTGATAGTGGTAATTCTTTTAATCTTTGAGTTTTGCTACCGGTGATTTTTTTCAATATTTTAAACATATATGTAAAAGAGGCTAAGATATTGTCATCGATACAACTTTCTTGGTGCGATTTTGCCACATCGGATGTCTCGTATTGGCAATATTTCGAACACTCTTTCCAAATAGAATGCTTGGGCTTCATCATTCGATCAAAAACTTTCTCTAAATATGCCTCTGAATATTTATTAAGGATAGTGGTAGAGATATTGATAAATCGGGAATCATACAGTAGAACACAGAGATACTCAAATTTCAGTATATGATTAAGCTTAAACCAAATTAACATTTGGTAGAGAATCCCTGATGAAGACTTTAATGATATTTCTTTTGCTCTTGAAATCTCTAGTTGTGGTATTAACTCCTCCTCTGTAGCGATATCTCCAATGTCGGCAATACGGTAATCAATATTAGACATGTTCGATTCCATTGTTTGTAAGAGGACAAATACTAGGGAGTTAAAAGAGGGTAAGCAATCTTCGTAATATGATTCAATTCTTTTCATTATTTCGATACTTTCTTCATTTTCTTCAGTAGAACCAACAAGCTTATAATTATAAGGCCCTTTTGTCCTATCCATGTTCCAACCACGTTCACTCATCATGAAAAGATCTCTTTCATGCCATAGTTGCTTGTTACTTAATTTAATTCTTAGGTTATCACTCAATATCTTGGTGGCTTCTTGAATACTATATGGAACAACTATGTCTTTATCAAGATAGGATTCATTTATTTGTGTTCTCTTCGTTAAATCATCATCTCCACTTTCATTATCTGATGGGTATAAACATGGATATGCCATGTTTGTTTGAAACGATTTTCTTGGTCTTGATGATGGATTAATAGGAAAAAATGTAGGCGAGCTTGGGGGTGATGGTGCTGGAGTTGCGAGGTGTTGTTCAGGTACTGCCAAAGTCATATTAATTGGGTTTCTTACTTTAGATCTTGGTATCTCCAAAAACTGAGATAAAGAATTAGAGTTGTCGATATCCTTTGGCAAATTTTCGCTGGGAGGATCAAAATCAGGATATCTTGAGACAATGTCCTCTCTAAATGCTTGATAATGCAGGGGTGAAATATCCAGTTTCATATTTTGACAGCCTTCACTTCGCTTAATTCCATGTACTTTTTCGATAGTATACTTTGTTTCCCTATAAATATCTTGATCACCAAATTGTAATGTTAACGCCTTGAACAATAAACTAATAATATTTCTTATTCTCATAGAAAGTCTACTATTCCATCTCCAATGCTCTATATATTTTGTTAAAAATTGTAATAATTTTAGTTTATCAAAAGTTGAAATTGCTTCTTTGATAATTTTCTCATTATTATTTCTTTCCTCTATGCAAATGCTAATAATACAAAAAAGTATAGTACTTGAGTAAAATAAAAGTACAGTATGTTTTCTCAAATTACTGTTTGCATCTCTGCACGAACTTGCTATTTTAAAAAAACTTTTTACTATTTTGTCTAAACCGATTTCTACAATAAATAGATTATTTCTCTTCATAAAATTTAATTGGTTCGTTACTGAATCTGATTCAGGATTTATTCCTAATGCTATATATGATAATGCCATTATATTTGAACTTGGCTGTTCAATCAAATTTTCTAATAATGACTGTATAATTGTCCTAGCATAATCTTCATCATTTATAAATTTTCCTGGGACTATATTATGCTTATCAAATTGTGATTTTGTTTGAGGAATATGTGTGTAATCAGCAAGCGTAAACCATTCTGGCAATTCTCTTTCTAAACCGTAGTAATTTTTCAAATGCCAATCTATTTTAGGTGTAGCTATACTATGAACTTCTGTAGATTTTTCAAAATCCGCTGCTCTTTCTTCCAGTGATTTTTTTAACTGAGCATCAATTGGCATATTATAATCGACTTCATTTTTATCTGTGCTTATTTGATTATTGTTATTGAAATTTTTATTATCTTCGACAATATTGTTGTTGGATATAGGCCCGTCGATTTCATCTACATTTTGGAATTCTTCATCTTCTTCAGTATCAGGAATTTCAATTTTATCAGAAGCCTCTGGTTCGATTTGAAAACCATTGATATTATCCAATTCAAAATCCGAAATGTCAGTTTGGCTTGAACATGTCAAGTCTCTCATGTTATCATCATTCGCCATCGTAGTAGAATTCCCATCCAAACCTGCCCTGGACTTAAAACTTCCAGAAGAAATGGGAGACAAAGAAGACGAACCGGTAGGTGATAAGACACTAGGCATGCCCATAGAAGAAGTTGGATCAAAAGTGTTTATTTTATGGGGATACTTTTGTGCAGAACTGTGAAGACGAGTTTCATCTAATGACGAGTTTCTTTGTAATTTGACGCTTGATAAATTTTGAAACAAATTATTACTTTCAAATTCTGAATTCACATCATTCAAAAACCCAGTAGTTCGCTTCAACTCATTGTACTGTCGAAGATTCCCTACAGAAACAGAACGGTTCACCGGATCTTTATTATCCTTTACATCAAATTCAACTTTCCCCTCTTGCATCCCTATTATTTGAACTCTTTCTCTCTTCCTTACTAATACAAATAGAACTTCTAAGAACGAAGAACAGTAAACAAGTATTTATAATCTAAATCAACTCCACAATAACCCTAAATCAAATCAAATCAATTAATGATAATGCCTTTCTAATGTATCCTTTGACCATTACCTTAGAAACAAAGAAGTTCCCCCAATTCTAAAAACTGCTCTACCAACCAAAAGAATCGCAATAAAACTAGAAGAAGTTTCAAAAATCAAAATTATAATCAATAAAACCTCACCTCCTGGTCCTTAGCCTCTTGTTCCTGGTCAAATCAACACATAAATCAACTATTTCTTAACTAAATATTCATAATTTCTATAAGTTCCATTAAAGTAAAGGAAAGTTTCACCATTTGATATCAAACTTCAATAAAATTATGAAAAAATGGGAACGTTTAAAATTACTGTACTTGAAGGATAAGCGATGGAAGTTTTGGATAAACAGGGTTCATAAGGTCCAGGTTAGTAGCGTTACAGTTAGATTCGTTGTGGATTGTTGTTTAGAAGGTTTTTCTTTGTTAGGGTTCCCTTTTATTTGGTCGAAATTGGATTTGATTTGGTGTTTTTAGAGAAGAACGCTGGTTAGATACATATAAAGATTTATAGATCTGTACATCAAATCAAGGTTGTCAGAAATTGATTGTATTGATTATAACAATGAGTTTGAATTTGGAGAATGTGTTAGGTTTCAAGGTCAAGGTGACTAATGTTTTGGATATGGTCACTGAAGGGACAGTATACTCATATAATTCCAGCAATAATACCATAACGATCCAAACCTCTTTGAAAAAAGGTGTTGGATCCTTTAAGATTATTAAATGTAGTTTTATTAAGTCAGTTGATGTTATTGGTGAGAAACCTTTGAATAATACTTTCAAGAAACAGCAGTTGAAGCCATCTTTTGTCAATTTGGACAGAGTACAAAAGTCCTTGGACAATACTTTAGTTGAAGTTACGAAGAGGGACGTGTTGGTTGGTAAAGGTGTTAGCAAGCAGGGACAAGCTATATTTGATGCTTTGTACAAGACTTTTTCCGATACCAGATGGTCAGGCAAGAATATTATAGTTTTGGATGACGTCCAGCTTGAACCGGCTTACAAATTGAACAATGTCAAACCTTTGGGTGATGTGAAACCTGAAACTGTTGAGATGATAAAGAAGATTGTTGAGAGAACTTGGGAAAGATTGACAGCCGAAGGTTTGGATGATGATGAAAATGAAAGGAAAGGTGGTTAAAAAATTAATGCTATTGCATTTTCCGTTTCCTATTAAATAGATTTTTGTTATTTGATGGATCTTTATAGTCACCACCCCCCCTCCCCTCATCACTCTATGTAGTATATAATATGTCAGCATTTCGTTCACTGTGAAATAGATATTCCTTAAATAGATTGTGTCTAGACACTAATTGGATATCTCGGATTAGTCAGTCACCATTAGTTATAAATTCCCTTAAAACGGTATTATTAAAATACAAATACATGTATATGTAAAGTCTATATGTTTTTACACAAGTCAATGATATTATGACAAACCCAGGAGATAGCGTCTTTAATTGCTACGCCGTCTCCATTGTTGAAGTCCCTAATTTCCTTTGCAATAGCAGGATTTAATTCACCTTCGACGTTGTGATCTTTAAAAAGGAACCCATGAGTTTCGACATATGACTTGTAAACGAATTCATCGAAATAATAAGGAGGATCTTTCCAAAACGAGTCCAACGTCTGGTACCCTGAGCGTGCGGCTCTCCGTTGTTTCAAGACACTGTATGGTGATCTGATCAATAGTTTCAAATCGAATAGATCGGATATTCTTTTATCATTGTACAACATGAATCCATCAACAAGAATAACCTTCACACTTGGATCGATAGAACCATACAACTGTTTGATCTTGTCCACGTAACTCGTGTCTAATTTAAACTTAGACAAGTCATCCACATTGTCATTATGGATCAACTTCGAACGTATCTCACCAGTAGACTTGATTTGACACAATTCATTTTCCAACAACTCCATATCTAAAGCCCCTGCAGAATCCCAATTCTGGATGTTATAAACCGGATCAACAGGGATGTCCTTGTCATGTTTATAAAAATCATCTTCATGAATCAACACAGCTTTAGGAAATAACTGTGACGTCAGTTTGGCAATAGTCTACCATCATTACATGTTTTTTGTTCTCATTCATTGTTAGTACCTAATTCATTTCCTGTAATAATTACAATTACAATTACAATTACGAATGCAAAATCGTATTAAAACAAATAAAACAAATAAAAAAGTCATATAGTTATACATACAGTCTTACCACTTGAAGAACAACCACTGATCCCCACCAACACAACTTTCTTGGCAACCATAACTCCCAATCAATCAATATCGACGTTTGACCTACCACTTTGTACAATCTTACAAACCTATTAAACCATTCCCCCCTCCCCTCTGCTTCTACACCTCCACAAACTAATACATCTCATCGAACAGAACACACTTACTTATACAACTCACAACATTGCAACAGTTCCACCAAAACAACTCTTGCGATGAGGTTGACCTTCTTTCGATATCATCGAAACTTCCAGCTTCATCTCCTTATTCCTTCACATGCTCAACACAACAAGATCTCAAGATCTAAATTCTCGATCTGATTGTAATGAAAACTTTAAATTTAAAGTTTCGACTTTCGACTTTCGACTTTCGAGTTAAGAGTTTCGAAGGCACATCTGTCGTTGTTGTTATATGTCAATTATTTCACATGTTGCATCACCATTTGTCGTTATCACCACAAATATTTTCGGGTTCGAACTTGTTTGATCTGTTCTGGTCTCGAAAGGTTTAAGGATTGTTTAGGTCTCTTAGATTGATCATTTTGACTGCACAACTCATCACTTTTTAAAGGTTTTGGAATCAACTAGGTTGGTACTGAGTCTGTTTTTTTGGAATTGAACAAGGTTTGGACTGAGATAATACTGACAAGTTGGTGAGTTCTACATAGATAAGAAAACAAAAAAAAAATACAAATAGTATGGGTTTCTTTGTTCCTTATTCAAGTCTTTCAAGTTTGAAAGAATATAAATATCAAAGTGAAGACCGTTCTTTAGTCACTAAATATGTTTTGAAACCTTATTGGCAAAAATTTGCTCCAATTTTCCCTGCATGGATGGCTCCTAATGTGGTTACTCTATTAGGTTTTGCATTCATTGTGATTAATTTTATCACTGTTTTGATTGTAGATCCTACTTTGACTCAAGGTTCTCCAGGTTGGGCTTATCTTTCCTATGCTATTGGTATTTTCTTTTATCAAACTTTCGACGCTTGTGATGGTATTCATGCAAGACGAACTGGTCAATCCGGTCCTTTAGGTGAATTGTTCGATCATTGTATCGATTCTATAAATACTACTTTATCTTTGATACCTTTCTGCTCAGCAAGTCGTACCGGTTACACCGTCTTGTTGATATTGAGTCAATTCACTTTACTATTAAATTTTTATTTGAGTACTTGGGAAGAGTTTCACACTCATAAGTTATTCTTAAGTGAATTCTCAGGCCCTGTTGAAGGTATCTTAATCATTGCCGCCATTTTCGTCCTTTCTGCTATTTATGGTGATGAAGCTGTTTGGCATTATAATCTATGTACCATTCCTATCGGTTCAGAGCCATTCAATGTCGAATTCATTCATTTCGTCTTCGTCTTCTGTACATTAGGTTTATTATTCAATACTTTATCTGCAAGAAGAAACGTCATAACTTATTATAGGGCGTCTACTCCTGATAAGAACACATGTGATGCTAAGGTTGATGCTGCTATGAAGGGCTTGTTGCCATTCTTTGTCTTCTTCTTCTCGGTTTTCACAGTTATCATTGTGGAACCTTCCTTCATCACTTTACCATTCGTTTTAACAATTGGTTTAACCGCTGCTTTCGTAGTTGGAAGAATTATCGTAAGTCATTTGACTAAGCAACCTTTCCCAATGCTAAATCTACCAATGTTCATTCCTTCTGTTCAATTGATTTTCTACAATGTTGCTGTCTTCATCTTAAGAAAAGATCCTGAAGAGGTAGTAAAGGCCTTGGTGTGGTTAGGTTTAGGTATCTCTTTTGGTACCCATGCTTTATTCATTAACGAAATTATTTTCGAATTCACCTCTTACTTGGATGTCTATGCTTTATCCATTAAACATCCAAAGAAAGCCTAATCCCTAAAAACACTACTCTAAATATCTGAAAATCTTATGTGGTTATATGTATAGTTTTGTTTTTTATGCTATTGAATAACTTCAGTATTTTGATATCTGGTTTGTCACCGTTTTAGTATTATCATGTCACCCAAAAACATGTTATATTTCTGCTCTAATGGCAATCATGTTTAATAATCATCATTGCACTCACAATATGAAGGATTAAAACAAAAATAGACTTGTATATACTTTACTCGTGTCGATTTTTTTATAGCTGTATATTCACTGTTAAATGATATTACTATAATAGTATGCTAATATTATACTAAACAAGACTTTTCTGCCATAATTAAAACTATCTCGATGTTAATGAATTAATCTATATATTATTATACAATTTATTTATTTAAAGTATTTAATTGTTTCAACTCGGTTGACTTATTTAGAAGATTTTTTAGATTTCTTACTCTTCTTTAAAATATTCATTTCTTCTGAATAAATATCTTGTGAATTTTCGGTGGTCTTTCTCTTACCAGATTTTACTGATACAACACCACCCTTTTTAGCTGCTTTATCAAGCGCTTCTTTACTTTCAGACCAACCTTCACCAGCTTCATTAATTGAATATTTATCCAAATTTAGAGAATTGATTAATTCTTTTTGCTTATCTCTCATAGCCTTGATGGCTTCAGAGCCAGCTTCCTCTAAATCATCTTCTATTTTATCCATCGCATCTGCTGCATTGTATGATTTGATTTCTTCACCGTCCATTTCTGCAATTACTTCATCATTTACTGCTGGCAAACTTTGTTCGATGGATTCACTTAATACTTGACGTAAATGTACGGAAATCTTTCTCATGATCTTAGCAAACATAGCAATCGTTTGGTTGGCAGGTAAGTTCAATTCCTTGGAAATGGTATCAATACTCTTACGTTGTAAACCAATAGCTAATAAGATAGCACTTTGAACGCTAGATAAACTGACTTCATTACCAAACTTACCAGCAAAATATAGTAATGCTAAAGTTGGAAGTAAATCTACAATAACATGGTAATCAAGCAAATTGTTAGAATAACTTTCCAATCTCTTTAAATCAAATGGAGATAAAACTTCGTCCAGTTGTTCTTTGGTTAATTCTTTTACTTTGAAATCAGAGTTAGCAAGCTCGGCTGCTTTTTTAGCACTTTCTATAACGCTTAAGGCTTGGACTGAAGTAAATTTGTTGAAGTCATACGACAGTAACGATAGAAATCTTTTGTGGAAATCATTGGAAAAAGCTACTAACCAGTTTGATTCTCTGCCTTGTAAAACATTCAACATTACACATGTATGTTCACCAGTTAAGTCATTAGCAGTTTGACGTAGATATACTGGAACAAATTTATTATTTCTCCAAAATTTATGTAACTGTTGAGTCAAACCATATGAAACACCTAAGTAATGCAAGAAATTAGGTGGTTGTTCAGATAACTTCAATAACAAAGGTGGTAATGTTTTTGCATCTCTCATCTTGATATCATCTTTCAATAAATTAGTCTTTTCCAATTCCTTATCAGAAACTCTCTTGATTGTGTAGTCCTTTGGAGTAGCATCTTCTGACATATCGGTAAACTTACCTTCAAAATAGTCTCTTAATAGTTCAATAGCACGAGAACCATAACCCATAGAGGCATATTCAGGGTTTGTTGCAATTCTAACAACACGGGCACCACTTAGACCTGCAAATTCTTCATCTTGAAATTGTTGAGAAACTAACCATGGAATCAAGTCGCCACCAGCTCTTTGACCACGAGAAAGTGAATTTCTGACGCTGTCCTTAGAAATTTCACCTTCCAATGCAATTTGGACAACACATAATGGATCAGGAATTCTGCCACCATCTTTTGGATCAATTGGAGGCAATAAAACAAATAATTGATGGGCAGGAGCATCACTCATTAATTGTAAGTCATTTGGAGAGTTCTTGTAGTGTGATGCAACATATAAAGCCATCATTTTTTCCAAGAAGGATTCAGATACAGGATGGTATGAGAATAAAGTATCTCTATTAACAATAAACAAATTACATTGAGAAGGATGAGGAGTACCCTTAGAGGCGAACCTTGCACTCTTCATTAATGTGACATCTAGACATAACAATTTGTTTAACCATTTTTCGACTGGATCACCTGGAGCGTATCTAATTGGTTCATCTAGACTAATTTCTCTTAATTGACGTGCGGAATCGTAAATGCCTGAATCAGTTTGCTTCTTATCTCTTGAAACAATTTCGGTTTGGGAATTTTCACGACCAGAAGTAGTGGATTGAGTTCTCAGTTGTTGAATTAATTTCAAAGATAAGGATCTACCAGTACCTTCATAACCGTTAATAGTGGAAGCCATGAATACTAAGTATGAACCTAATAACTTCTTGACAATAGGTAGTGGGATAGCAGCAGCTTCATCAATGACTACCAATTCAGCTTGACCCAAAACTTGGTGGTCTTGAGGCATGATATATTGAATTGTTTGTCTGTGATCCCTCTTAATATCTACTCTGACGATAGCTTTGTTAAACTGTGGGTTTGTTGATTGGATAATATCATAATCAATATGTTCTTGATAACCCAAAGCATCGAAAGCCTTAAAGATGAATTCAAATAAGGTTTTCAAGTTTTCTGGGGAAGGTGAAGTGACAAAAATGTTAGAGTAACCATGGGATACAGCTGCTGCTATGGAGATACCTAAAGCAGCAGATTTACCACGACCTCTACCGGCAGTTAAAGTAACAGTAGAGTTCAAAGTTTTTTCTGAGATTGCATCAATAAATGACAAAATTGCATGAGCTTGGTTTACAGTTTTAGCCAAAGAAACCAAAGAGCCAGCTGGTTGGACATCTTCTAATGATTCTTTCAAATCTTTTAATTCTATTTGTTTTGGAGTCATGTCTTCATTGTCAACAGGAGGCAATGGCTTCACATGTTTACCACCAGACAAAGGAAGGACATTTAATTCATCATCTACAACCAAACAATTTGGGTTTGAGCCCAAGGAAAGGATAAATCTTTCGTTGAATCTTGCGACCACGTCATTGTGGGCTTCTGTACGATAACGGGAATGGATATCCATGGTCATAGTATACAATTGTTTCAAAGAGGTCATTGATTTCAATAGGATGACTACGATACCACCACCTTCGACTGTTTCGATAGTTCTTGCTAATAGATTTGGAGTCAAACCTTCAAAATCTTGTAAGATACACATACCATAAGTATTACCCAAAATTTTTTCCGTTTCTTTATAATAGACGTATCTAATATTTTGGTTTGAGATGAAAGTTTCAAAAGGGTCTTGATCATTAACTTCTCTAGTGCCTCTTTTGATTTCCTTTTTAATCTTAGCTTCCCTTTTCTTTCTATGAGAGGTGAACCCTAATAATTTCTTCTTATAGGCCCACAAAACAGATTTATTCATCTTCAAATCAGCGCTCATCATTAGATAGTGTAAGTTTGGCAACTGATTACGAGCCTTGTCACCAACAATCACAAAGAAGGATCTTTGTTTCGTTTGTACACCATTTCTAATCAGAGAAGGAATTCTCGAATCAATAGCTTTCTTTGCCATTACTGAAGTATTCTATCCTATTAATCTGTGTTGGTACAATGAAGAAATCAAAACTCGATCTTAATATATAAGGACCTAAATGTATCGAAAGAAGGATGTTTTATGAATCTAATCTTTTTTTAAAAGGCCAAAGTCATCTCACCTCATCTCATCTCATCTCATCGAACTAAGCTGCTTCTCTCTACATTAAAATTTTTCATGATGAATTGATTTCGAGATAACCTCTAAAAAGAAAAGAACAAAACACTGTCCGACGTACCCTATCCTACCGGACAATTCCACAAATGGGACTTGTTCGTATCAAAAAAGACATGCATCACGTGAAATGTAGTTTCCGATATTTTTAATTTTTTGGGGTTTCGAAATCAAATCGAACACTTCCAAAAAATAAAGCGGAGCAGTTTCGAAACGTCGCCTGTTCAAAAAGAAAAAAGTGAACAGAACAGGAAATAGAGACAAGAAAGAGATGATGAAAAAGTAAAAGAAATGGCAATTGGTGTAGAAAAATGACAGAAGACGAATATTGGCGGCTAAATCGAAAATAAAAAAAATAAAAAAAAATAAAATAAAATAAAAAGGAGAATAGCAGTGGAATACAGTATGTATTTCCAAATATTGGACTGTGACTGTGGCTGTGACTGTACCAATGCTACATAAAAAATGATGGTATCGTAGTAATCTGAAAGTCAGAGAGAATCATCTTCTTGTTCATTGATTCTCTTCTCAACTATTTTTTTTTCTTCCCTCTTGAACAGTTTTCTTGTTTGTCTGGTATTTTTTTAAGTCTATCCATTGATCGAGTTTTTTGTGCCTTTTGTGTCAGAAAACCGATTGGTATATAAAGGAGACACAGAAATGAGAAGTTCGATTACAGAAAAGGGAAATTTTATCTAACAGCGGCAAAACTTGTTTTGGAACAACCTCTATTTAATAATAAAAAATATGAAAGGTTCGCATACAGACACACACAAGCATATATACATATATATATATATATATGTATATATATGTCTATAGGGGAATATATACAAAAGTGTGCAATTGAACGCATAAAGTTTTGTTAAGTTGTTCCACAACAGGAAGAAAAATCAACGTTTTATATTTTTGCATTACCGCAGACACTTTATCTATCTATATATTACAAAATAAAGCAAAGCAAAGCAAAACAGAACCAATTGGAAACAAATACTTGAACAAGTGTTGGTTTTTGTTGTTTAGAGAAGAATTCTTAAAGGGAAGACCACAAAAGGACGAGATTATAATTCATTGTTCATACATAGTCTTCTTTTTTGGTGATTTTGATTTTGGCTTCGTTTTTGTATTTTGTATTTTGTATTTTGTACTTTGGGGATAAGATATATATATATATATATATATTTAACACACACTCACACACACATATATATAAATATATATTACAAGTATCCATACCATTGGGATACCTTTCTATCTGGACATAGAGATAGAATTAGAGGGGTATATATATATAAAGGAAAGTAGAAGCTTTGTCCTTAGCAGAGTTACTTTTTTTTTAATTTTGTTTCGTTTAGCCCTATTTGTGACGTTGACGTTATATTATTGTTTGATTCCCTTTCAAATTAGTTTTTGTTGTTGGTTCCTGAAAGGAGACTGTTCCTTTTTCTATTAGCAATTTTGTATTTTTATTGTGTTGTATTATATTAAATTATATTATATTGTATTGTATTGTATTGTATTTCATCGTACTGTACTTTACTGTATTGACTTTCCCTTAGAAGGTATGAACATCAACAATATCGCAATGCTTAACAGAGCAGTTATGAACTTCCACTCTGTGGTTGACCCTTTGATCATTGAAGAACACCAAGATTTGGAAGAGGCTTGCAATTATGACCCCGAGATCTTAGAACAGGGAATTGTTGTCCATGGTGATGGTGGTGAGGACGATGCCGACGATGGTGACGATGGCGGCGAGGATGGCGACGAGGACGAGGAAGATATCAATGATGAAGGTAACAGCGATTGCCATCGTCGTAGCACCGCTATTCATCAACGACATCTTGTCCCACTTCATCACCATAGGCATCATATAATTGGACAACCAATTAGAGATGACCTTGGAAGGTACAATAAAATAGAAAGACATATTAGTCTCCTCCCACATGTAAGAGACGTTTTCTCTGAAGGCAATGATTCAATTCATGGAGATGACGTAGAGGAATTTGGTGATCCTATTGTAATTAAAAATGAATTCAATTCTAAAATTGAAGATTCGCCAATAATTAAAACCCATATTAACGATGATGGCACCACTTCGAATTATTTCGATAAAAGAAAATTGAAAATAGCACCAAGATCAACTTTGCAGTTTAAAGTCGGTCCACCTTTTGAATTAGTTAATAATTTTTATAACGTTAAAAATATTGATACTGGTGAAAAAATTTATTTCCAGATCATACCAAGAATTGATAGAGGTTTCGATTATATTGACGATGAATGGGTGGGTTACAAAAGAAATTATTTTACCCTTGTGTCATCCTTTGATGCAGTTGGATTCTCTTTGGAGGAGTTTTTAAAGCATTCTTATGAATTACAGTTGGATGAAAATCATTACAACAATACTTATAAAATTAAATATTTTGCAATAAAAATCAAAGCCAGAAGTGATGAGGATTATAATGAAATTAGTTTAGTTCAGCACACTGCGAAACGTGACAAAGGTCCACAGTTTTCACCAGCTCTGTGCCCTTTAATTCCATCCGCGCTACCTAAACATCAAATTATTAGGGAAGCTTCCAATGTAAGAAATTGTACAAAAATGAAAAAATATGATTCTACTTTTTACTTCCATCGTGAACAACATCTCGATGAATACCCTCAAAGAAGCGTACTACATTCTTATCCATCTGATTGTATACAAAAAGTAGCCCGTTACGAAAGAGTACAGTTTGCCTCTTCTATAAATGTTAAGAATCCTGCTCAAAAAAATAGACACTTTAGACTACATGTAACTTTAGGGGCTATTGTGACTTCTTCAAATATCAATACATCTGATTTCGATAATGATAATATTGAAGAAGAGATTGGAAAAGATGGTACGAGAGAAATATTCTTCCCACTACAAGAAATGAGAACTCCTCCATTGATTATTAGAGGAAGGTCGCCATCTAATTACACATCTTCTCAAAAAGTTACGGTCAATGCATCAGTAAGCAATGCCAAAACAAATCAACAGATTCAAAATTTCCATCGTCAAAATATTAAAAATCACTACAATGGTCTTAACATTTCATCACCAAATAAACCTAGAATAAGAAGAGGTACAAAAAGGAAGGCTCAAATAATGGATGCCTCTTCTCCTATAGATCATATTAATGAATTCGAAAATTACAATGAAAATGAAAATGAAAATGAGAACGAAAATGAAAATGATAATGATAATGAAAATGAAAATGAAAATGAGAACGATAATTTAAATAGCGTTGAGTCAAAAGAGGCTGATTACTTTGGTAAAAGAAATAGTAAACGAGTAGAAACTTTAGATCATATAGAAAATATGATGCTCCGACAGACATCATTGACATTAAGGACAACCTCGACATATTCAGCAGCTCAGTATTTAACCGAATGCGATTACCATGGGAAAGAACCTCAAAGACCAGCATATTCTAGGCATCAATCAATAAATTTGAAGGAAATTGACTTGAAATCACCATGTAATGTTATTGATGACAGTAGTTATGTCGTCGGTTCATTAGTCCTTCAAGAAACAAAAATTTTACAAACAAGGAAAAAAGGCACCAAACAAAGAAAATTGAATAATAAAGCAACATTATTGACTACCACTACAACTAGAACTGGAAAAACATCGGCTTCAAAATCATCTGGAGGAAGATCATCTCAGAGTCCAGTTAAATGTGAAGAGAAGACAGAATTATCAGAGCATTTACCAGATGAAATGACATCAGTCTCATTTTCTTTTCTAAATAACAGTTTGAATAACTATTACCACATTTCAAATAATGCAATTACGGATGTAGATTTAATACCTAGATTTTTTACAAGAGTCATTGGAGAGTCCTCGTTCATGAATAATTACAAGCACCAGACACAATCTTTGAATGAATTTGGAAATCATCAGACTGGGATTAATGAAGGATTTCCGAATATCAATTATAACAATACTTGTAACAGTAGCAATAACGCTAATATCAATTCAAGTGCCAATGCTAATTCTAACGCTAATGCTAATACTAATGTTAATGTAGATATTAATGTTAATGCCAATTCTCATCCCATTAACAACCTTAGTGGCATTAATATCAATACTAATCAAAACAACAATAGCAGTAGTGGTAATAACAACAATAATAATAGTAATAACAGAACAACAAGCAATCATGAAAATTGTTTGCCTTCTGGCATGATCCCCTCAGGGGATTTGTTTGATGAACCTAGCTTTTATAATCATTAAATTTGTATTGAAAATTTTGTATCTTTAGTATATTGTTATGTGATGGGATGTAATGTTATATTTTTATATCATGAATGAAGAATCAATGATATGTACTGATAAACAGACATATATGTATATCTAAATAGATAGATAGATAGATAGGTATATAAATCGATCAAAAAATTAAGAAATATACAAACTAATTGTGTCAGCTTATTTTAAAGTCGCTAAGATATACGACAATAACACAAAAAATAAATGCGAATTCTGTGGATCGAACACAGGACCTCCAGATAACAGATGATTTGACCGAAGTTAATTCTTCAGTCTGGCGCTCTCCCAACTGAGCTAAATCCGCTTACTTATTTGTTAACCGAATGAAAAATATTTTCAGTGTTACAGAAGTTTCTGAATGTATATTTTTCTTCCTTCAACGTATCTCTGGTAAAAGTCAGGAAATTCTTCAAATGTATATTTTATAGTCATTGTTTAAACTTCCCGATATGAATACTCTAAACAAAAATTCCCTAAGATATTATGTGCATGTATATATATGCCCTTTTTAAAGATATTTTTCGTTAATGGCACTTAAAAGTTATAAGAAGATACTAATGTTTAAAGATATTGCATACCTTTGAAGCCAAGGAACCATAGTGGACTTTATTTGCATATCTAGAATTTAAATGGGGCATGATATGGATCATGCCAATTATATTTTACAAAAAAGAAAGGGCTTCAATTGCAAATATAACGTCATTTCTGTATATCTTCATCTTCATATTTGCTATTTTATTTTGGAAAGAGAAATTTTTGCAATTGATGCATCGAATAGATAGTATTTTTGTCACTATTTTCAACTCAAAACTTATAATTGGAATCTCTATCAAGAAAACATGTAATAATATAATAACTATTCATGATATTATTTTAGGGATAACCTCTCCCTTAAAATTACTAGATTTCCTTGGATAATGGAAGATAACTAATAATATTGCAAAAGTATGCTACAAAATTCTACTGAATTTTAATTAAAGTGCTATTGAAGAGAACTGGAATCTAAATTCAGCAACAAATTTGAAGTCACTGATGAATAGTGCTGAGTTAAGTTCGATGATAACAAAATTCAATATGATATATAAAATCCTATTTTCCTTAAAAAATCGATGTATGAGATAAATACAGATGACGATCGATAATTAAATTCCAATTCATAATAGCCTATATTATACTATAAGATACCAATTTTCTCCATTCTTTAAGGGTTCTCAATCAATATCATTTGGGCCAAAAAGTTACCTTTAAGGAAATTGCAAACTTTCTTTTACATTAACAGTGTTAGAATACAATCACAAACTTGACACCAGATCCCTGTCGTACTCTTCAAAGGCTTGCTGATACTGATTCGTTTACTATTCCTTCTCTTCGAGTGTCACTTTCACATTTTTTTAACGTATGCTTTTTTTTCACTTCTGAAATTTGAATTAGATATTAAAAGACTTGGCCAACTCTTAGAAAGATAAACTGATATTGCAAGAAGAAGAGGTTGAATTAGGAGGAAAGTTGAGGATATTATGGGATAGAGATGTCTTCTGGAGGGAAAGATGATTCTAAAGTGAGAAAGATTTCGTTTATTTCTGAAGGAGTAACGGATTTAGAGAGCCAAAAGGCTAGAGAGCAAGCAAGCCAAAACAAGTATGAAGATGAACAGAAAAGAAAGGAAAGAAAGTCTCTTCGAGCTCAGTTGAGGTCCAATGCCATATCTAAACAGAAGCAGTACAATGCATTAGTAAAGGAAAGAGATAGTTTTAATAGATTAAGTTCATCAGAGTTGAAGTTTTTTCAGGACATTCAGAAGAATGAAGAAGCAAAAGAGAAAGAAATCGAAGAACAATTGGAGAAAGGAATCTCTAAATTTGAATTCAAGAAGGCTATCATGTTGCAGAATAGATCGGAAGAGTCTGAAATTGTTAAATCTTTGAAGAGTAGCAGTATAATTGGAGTGAAAAAATCCAACCAGAAGCTTGGAATTGTTAAGAATAGCAAAAAAGCTCGTAAATCTATCAAGATTAAAGTCCCTGCAAGACCTGATACTGAATATGAGAAGTGAAATACATGGGAAAAGTGGGTAATGAGATAGATACATTTGAAACGGATCAGAAGTGTCCTAGAAAGTCAATAAATAAAATGTACACTCTATTCAGAAACTTGCTGGTGCTAATGCAAGAAACTCATTAGTATAGTTTAAGGTACTTCATATATTGACAATTATAATGGGAATTCCATTCTTTTTCCCCGTAATTAATCATGGTTTTTAAGTTTCAATACAAAATTTACGACAGATGTTGATGTACTTTTAAAAAAAGTGTTTATAGCTTTTTCTACTCATTCATAATAGGATGATTTATTATAATTGTATGAGGTTGGAATTCTAAGTATATTTAAATAATTCTATATATAATTTTTATAAGTTTAGAATTAAACTTAAATAATACATATCAGTTTTGGTTTAACAGGGGAAAAATAGCATTTAATTACACTGTTATATATAAAAAAAATTAATGTTTCTTGAAATCAATAAAAACTTATAAATTTCAAATATCGAGACATAACTAACGAAGAAGAAATAGCATTTTATCTAAATTATTTTTACTCTGGATTGAATTGAATTGAATTGAATTCAAAGTTAAAATAAAATATAAAAATGACAATGCCAATTGTCTTAGGCTCTTATAATTTATATTAAAATGTTTAAAGTTCATTAAGGAAAGATATGCTTTGCATAATTAAAATTTTTGAAACAAAGACAGAAAAATTAATGATATTAATAAAAAGACCAACAAAATGTATATGAAGAACTTGAAAACTTTTCTAAAAGATTAAAATCTTATTATTGACATATGAGACATAATGCTTCTATAATAATAAATCCTTTAAATTAACAAAGCTGCAGCGACAGCAAGAATAGCTGGAGCAGCATCTACAACCACCAATCTTGCACCAGCACCAGAAGGATGTGGGATAATTGTAGTAGCATTTGTTGGTGGAACTGGTGGTGTGTTGGAGGCTTGGATTTGACCATCAGTAATTTGTGAAACTAAATTAGTATGAGTTACTGGTGTTGTAACATGAGCACTTTGGATAGTTGATGGTGCCACTGTAGTACCAGGTGTACTACTTTCCACTTTACTTGATTGAATGACACTTGATGGTTTAGTGACAGTAGCAATGGTGGAAGGAACAATTGTAGTTGTTAGGACTTGTGTGCTTGTTGTAGCTTGGATCTGACCATCGGTTATTTGAGAAACTACTTCAGTCACTGTAGTGGTTAACAAAGTTGTTGGAACTTCCGATTCTTCACTTTCTGGTTCTTTACCGTGCCATCCGGCTAAAACGTTTGAAACACAGGTCAAAAGCAATGTTGCGGCAGTTATCTTCATTGTTATAAATTTTCAGAGTTTATTTGATTCTCAGTATGTTAATTTGGGTTTTCTTTTTGATATCTAAAAAAAACCTATTTGATTTGATTATTAAAAATATAAACGTTTAATTTTGTTATTCCAATTGTAAAATATCTTGCAATGGTTGGTATACCCTTTAAGATTCAAGAATAAAAAAAAAACTTAAACAACCAAAATAAATTATACTGAACTAATAAATAACTATCATATTGGATATATCTCTAAACTTCAAAAACCTGCCCCTTTATATACCTTTAAAGTTCTAAAAAGATAACATTAAACATCTTGAAGGTAGATAACATAAAATCACAATCACAAAAAGCTTTAGTAGCAAAGGTTTGTGTCTAACCACAACCTTTGAACATCCATCAAATAATCTTACAGTTCCTATAATTGTGTTTCCCAATACTAGACTGTTGTAATCCAAGTCTTCTGTTTGAGGTTGCCACTACCCTACTTGACATCTATCTTAAGGCGGTTTTGTAATCATAAATCATCACTAAAACCTTATAAACAAAACCTCAAGAAACATATGTACCTGAACCGCATTGTCCTCTTCAATTACATTCAATTATGTTCATATTAGAGCCAATTCCTTACATTTACCTCCCAATATCAGGCAATTTGTGTATTTGTAGAGGTATATATCATAATTCAATCACTCTGGATAATGGGGTACATTTTAATTTAAATGTATGTAACTCAAGTTTTATTACACTTATGTACATGGAAAGAACTGGAATATTTACAATAACACGATTAGATTATGTTTCACCTGCGAATTGTATAGTTGGTCTATATATATAGATTAGATATACCATTGTGACGTTCTCTTCATTTACTGACACACTTATAAGAACTTTTTTTCTATCTGTCCTTGATATCAAAAACGTTTAAAAAAAAATATCAAGTTGATTAAAGAGAAATGGAAGATGTCTAAACCTTTTAAGAATGGTTATTAAATGGGATAAAAGAGGGTAGTTGTTGACTGCTTTGACATTGAATAGTATATGTTTTGAAGTTTCTTTAGAGGATTCCTTTGGTAGTGATGTTGTTTGCTAAGTTGAACCAGTTGGTTAGGGACATTAAACCCTTGGACGTTGAAAGAACTTTTTTCACTACAGAGGTTATTGACAATTGGGAAACTAAACATGAAGAGCTGTGCAATCAGTATCTTGGTTTTGATGGTGTTGAAGAGAAGTCTCGTTGGCTTAAGTCTATCTTCGTAGAATGTTTTAGACTTTATTACCAAGAAAATGAAGACCATTTTTTAACTGCTGAACAGATATCCAAATTTGTTACTAGATTAGTTGAAGTCTCGAAAGATTCTGGTAGGATAGGTAAGATGTTTATTGCTTCTTCTTCTACTTCAAACGATGAAGAGGTTTCAAAATTAATCAGTTTGATGAAATTGATATCGTCTATTGAAGAAGAAATGTATAAATATAGTTGGGTTAGTGGGAAAATAATGGTAAAAGACCAAAAGTCTATCCTGAAACATAGACTAAAGAAATATAAATATGAAGTTAAAAAACATAATTTGTTCTTTGAATGCAGTGTTGGTTATTCTCAATTGGTCTCTTTACTTTTAATGGCATATAACGATAATAATAACCTACAAAAAATCACATTTTATATTGATGAAGTTTATCATATTTCAGGTAAATACTCTTTGGATTCTATGCGTGTTTTAGATACCATATTGAGAGTTTCAAGTAATTTCATAACTGATGGTTACACTTTTTTAGTTGAATTCCTAAAGGCATCGGATTTCTGGCCAAAGAATAATAGTCTGGCGGATAATTCAAATTACGTTGGTTTAAAGAAAGGTGGTAACTTAATTGCTTCGAATATAATCCAATTTTATTTGAATTCTGATTTACAAGATGAAGAATATTTGAAATATGTAGATATGTGTTGTATTCTTATCATTAACGGATTCGTCAATTTCTCATCTATATGGGAAAATTTAAAACCTTCTGATTCCTCATTAGAAGAATATTTTACAGAATTCGATAAGGAGTTGGAGGAAGAATCTTTGAAAGGAAGTTCTAATCCATTGGCCTTGGCAGCTGCTTTGACCGCAGACGACGACGATGATGATGATTCAAACAGCTTTAACAAAGATTCTAATAATAAAATGAAGGCCAGTCAAGTTAAACCAAATGCTGAGGACAATGAAGTAGATGACTCGACTAATCAAATCGATAATAAAGGTGTAGATGAAGAAGAAAATACAAAGTCAATCAAAAAAAAGCTATTCCTATTACAAAGACTTCTTGCCCATGGATGCACTGTGCCTGTTTTCTACATCTTAGAGAGATATCCAAAATTCATGTTTATTGAAGATACAACGGCAAAACTAGTAACAAGGGTATTTTCTTACAAGCTAGATGATTTTTATCATGAATTTTGTATTCCACACTTACATGATATTTCTGATCCTCTAGATATTCCATGTGTTGAAAATGGTAATTTATCAGTGAAAAAACAATTAATGATTGAAAGAGAAACACATAATCCTTTTGTTGGTATATCTTTGCAAACCAAATTTAAATTTTATTATTCTGACTGGAGTAAAGAGTTTACAAAAATTGATTCAATTGATACATTGATATCCAAATCCCACAAGTATTTTCATTATTTGGGACCATATCTAGCAAAAGAACCTCAGCTAATTTCAAAAATTTGTAGAATTGGTATTAAGTCTATTCAAAATAATTCTAAAGTTGAAGAGACCAATTCGGTAGATATTTGGGTGGATTATTTTAGAAAATTCATCTTACCGTGCATTCCTCTGCTAGAAGTTAATCCAACGATAACAACAGAAATATATGAACTCATGAAATTATTTTCATTCGAGAAAAGATATTTTATGTTCAACGAAATGATCTCGAAATTATCACAAGATAACCTACTTATAAAATTAGGTTTTACAAAAGCGGAAAAGGAAGCAAGAAGTACATTAAAATCATTAAGCACAGATAATATTGAATTTGAAGCTATTAACTTTGCAAACTTGATTTCTACTAATCCGATTGCAACACTTCTACCTACAGTTAAACAAATTGAAAATTACGATAAAGTATCTGAATTGGTTATATATTCTGCCAAATATTTCAATAATTTTGCCTACGATGTTCTACAATATATCTTATTGTTGCGTTTGACTGACGGGAGAAGTGCAGTTCAGGCTGATGGTGTTAACCAAACCATGTGGGTTTCACGTCTTTCTTCATTTATTGCAGGTTTAGCAAAGAGTTGCTCAAAAATGGATATTTCAAATATTATCTGTTACATTAAGAAAACCTTACATCAAGGAAATGTAATTGCGATTTCTATTTTAAAAGAGTTGATTTCTACTATCAGTGGCATTAAGGACTTGAACGAAATTAATATTAAGCAATTGTTAGCGTTGAATTCTGGTGAACAACTGCAGATAATGGCAAGACGTTTGATTTATGACCTTCGAGATGATAACAAAGAACAAGCCTCTAAGTTGGTGGAGCTTCTAGTACAAGATAATGGTGTATCTGAAGTTTTGCTTTTACTTTACAACATGATTGTAGAATCAAATATAGTTGGCTTCCATTATAAAATTCTGTCTACAAGGTCAGATGAATTGAACAGTTTACTTTTCTCCTTCATAGAACTAGTGAAATTCTGCATGGATAAAGATAGCTATATCAAACATGTGATATCCTTTCAAAAGTTGGTAAATAATTATAATGTATCTATCCCATGGGCCTTCCACATTTGGCGAGATTACATTGGTGTGGTTGGTGGCATTAATGTTCATTTGGAAGGTGATAAAATGGAAGGTGATTCCTTAGAATTGTCATATAAAGAAGTTAATTTTAAAGGTGAAAATATTTCTGATATCAGCCAAGATTTCTTCGTACATTTTTGGATCTTTTCATTATATGATATCCAATATGATGAAAATCTTTATGATGAAAATAAAAACAGCTTGGAAACAGAAATTGGAAGGTTGGCTTCTGCAAGGAAAAAGAATGAGTTGTTGAAACAAGTCAAAGAAATTACAGATGATTACTTATTGCATGAAAAGCGAGTTCGTAACACATTGAGTGTATTAGAAGAAAAATCCAGTCATTGGATTGAACAATCCACTAAAAGTGATCAAATTTTGTTCTTTCAACATTGTATAATCCCAAGAGCCTTGTTCTCTCCAGTCGATGCACTGTACTCAGCTTACTTTCTATGTTCTGCATTTAAAGATGAAACCTTGGATCATATTTGTCACCTCCTTGTTGATTCCAAAGTTTTAAGTACTCTTCTATTCACATGTACTAGTTTGGAAGCATGTAACTTCGGTATTTTTTTCTCAAAACTGTTATCATATTTGGAAGAATCGAGACTACTTTTGGAAACAGATGATGAAAAGAATAGAAAATATTTTATGCTATTTGAGTCGATAACTAACCAAATATTGGATACCTTGTTAGAAAAGAACTATATGTCCATTAGAAATGGAATTGAGTTTATGAAACATATTTCTAAAGTATTCCCAATTGTTGATACTCATATAAGGGTTGTGATATTAACTTTAGAAAATAATTTGGTTGGGGAAGAAAGAGAGGATATTAAATTACCTACCAATGCTTTAATTGGACACTTGAAGGCTAGATTAAAAAATGCACTGAAACAATCTGAATTCTGTGAATTAAATGAAGACGAAATCAGAGAGCAACATCAGTTTGAACTTGAACTAGCTGAAATTGAGAAGCATAGATGTATGATAGAAATCGATCAGAAGAAAGAAAAGTTGAGAAAGCAAATTGAAGAGAGTAGGAAAAAACGTGCTGCTGACACTTTATCCAAGGATAACAAGGAAGCTACACCTACTAGTTCACAACGTAAAATTGTCGATATACCAACTGGACCATCTTCTTCGAATATTAAAGGAATACCGACTGCACCTGCTGCCTTAAAATCGAATACTTCTGTTCTGATTGGAAACCCAAATCAAAGTAACCAATCTTCTGTTAATCGAGATATAACTTCATCCCCAGCAGCCTCGACTGTTTCTTCTTCAACGCTAAAATCATCAAAATTATATCCATTATTAAGAGAGAATATAAATGCTGTTTCATCTTCCTCAAATTGGACAATGCCTCAGGTTTTAAAATTGATGAAGGAAGTTATCTATAATTTAAGTGTTAATAATTTAAACAGGGTTATGACATTAATTGATGAAGAACGGGAAGTAGCAAAGCTCAAAAAGTTTGGTGAGCAAGAACAACCACTTGCAGATTTTAGGAACAACATTTACAGAGTTTTACAAGGATATTTTAAGCAGATAGCAGATGATCCTCTAAATGAAGATTTTATTCAAAGCCTGCAAGACCTGAAAACCATCATGCAAAGAGTGAGTCAAAAAAACATTATTAAATCAAGAGAATCTAAGTCTGACCAATCAAGTAGTATTCAACCTTCAAGTAGATACAATTCTAATCCAAAAAGTGAAAAGCAGCTGGAAGTGTCTCAAAATCAACGCAATAGCACTGATAATAAATTCGGCTCAACCTCGAAATATGGTAATAGATATTATACCCAGGGAAGTTCAGAAAGGTCACAAGTTAATAGAAGAATTAATTCTAATGGTAAGTATTCTGATAATAACTACCCTAAACAAGATAAGGTTGGATATGCTACTAAACGTGGCAGGTCTGATTATTCTGATTCTAGATCACAGTCTAGTTATGATAATAGCGTTAGGAAGCCAAATGATCATGGAAATGATGATAGGTCTAACAAACGTTTAAGAAGAGATGATAATCGTAATGATGGAAGTAGACAAGACTATAGACAAAGTAGAGAAAACCAATTAAAGGATGTGGGCCGTTCAAGGTTTGGTGATCAAAAGAAGGAGAAATCATCGTGGTTGCCACAAGGTCCAAAGAACTCTGGTGGACAAAGCAGGTATAATAAATGATATATTTATAATTGTAAATTAATATGTTTGTATAAATAAAATTTGTATATAAATAGTGAATTTGTGATTATTTTGTTCCCTTTTTGCTACCTACCTATATTAGAATGAAACAAATAAGTTGATATAATATACATTGATAATGATTAAATGCTGATTTATAAAAAGTACATATGGCGTATTATACAGAATCAGGATGCTAATAAAAAAAATTTCCTTATTGAAACTGATTTTATTTTCTTCGTGATTAGAATTAATTAAAAGCTTTTTTTTATGGTCTTAGAATGCAGGTTCATCACCATAATCATCCTCTGCGAAATCTTCATCACCGTCATCGAAATATTTTTCTGCATTGTAATCATCATCTTCACTTTCATCATCAAAATCATCATCGTCCAAATTATCATCTTTATCACCTTCTTGTTCGCCATTATTTTCATCATCCATATCTTCTGCAAGTTCTTTTAGTTTTTCCAGCATTGATAAACCTTTTGAATCATCTTCTCCATTACCTGTGAATATATCATCTTTATTATTGAAACTTGATAATACTAACAGCTTCTTCTTATCTAAACCCATGGTACTATATAACTCCTTTGGGAACAACGTTGGATTAAAAGGATGCTCTGATATAGAGACACCAATTTTCCTTTTCTTTAAATATTTATCGGAATATCTCTCTATCCCATCCAAAAGCCCAGACTCATCGATCAACTCCTCAGACCTCTTCCTCTTACTCTTACTCTTCTTCTTGCTATCATCACCCTTTTGAATGGAAAGATCAATTGAACCAGTGTAAAATGGACTATCTCTAACAGTTTGACTAAATTTGATATAAGTCACAGCCAAACTTCTCTCTCTATTGGAAACAGGATTGTTCACAGGAAGAGGAATCGTTGGCATCTCGTTAGAAGAGTTCTGAACTATATCATGGTAACCTAACCCAAATGGTAAATTACTAAATGAACTACCAGTACCACCACCACCTCTACGGAAACTCATATTCTAATTCTTTATCTCCTTTTTCCACCAAACTTCAGCTAATTTCCACCAGAAAAAAACGAATATCTAATTAATAGATACTTAATCTCACCAATAATCAACCTGTTGACCACCAGATGATCCAATAAAACCCTCTCAATCGTTTAATATCGTTGTTCATTAACTCAACTTTTAAACTTGATCTTGTACCATTGAAACTTTTTTTTTTCACTGTTAAAATTTTGTTAAAGCGATGAGATGAGATGAGAGAATGTCAGTTATTTTACTATGTAGCAAGCTATATAAAGTACAATTAATTAAATGATATGTGTGGATGAGTGATCTTTGTAGTTATTTGTGTATTAAAGTGGTAAACTGGGGTTTGATTCTTTTACGAATGGTTAAATTTCGTCATCTGACTCAAATTCTAGGTCAAGATCATTTTCAAAAGGTGTAAATTGAGAACCTGTCTCTACGGTATTTGGTCTTACAAACCCTCCATAATTTGGTTTTACAGGGCCAAAATACTTCTTACCTTTGAATGTCCCATCGTTTTTGCCCATAGGTTCATCGAATTCAATTCCACACCATACATCTTCATTATTTATATCTGGGATTTTGCCTACGAATCTTAGCCAGCCTCTTCTTTCTGCCGAATCTGTCGATTTAACAGAACATCTTTCATTTATTATTAGGTTCTTCAAGTGTTCATTTTGTAATTCACGGTTCTTGTTCAAAGTTAATTGGTACTGTGGGTCGAATTTTCCTAACTTGTGTTCTTTTTTCCAATTCAAAACAGAATCTTTCCTATTAGCATACGCATCTTCAGATAACTTAAACAAATGTTCTTCGTTATCACCACTGTCTCCTTCCTCTTCCTCTTGATGCATCTTGTTCAACTGATTAGCAATAGAATTAACATTAGTGTCTTCAACAACAACCGACACTTGTCCAACTCCGTTGTACCCTTCAAAAGGCCTCAATCGAGCATCCTGGACACGTCTCCCGCCATATACTTCCTCTTTGCTAGCCCCATTACCAGTCTCAGATACAATCAATCTCATATCATTGGGTGAAACCCCTGTGAACTGATATAATTTTTCACATAAATCAACTATACTGATTTCAACTGGAAATTCCTTGCTCAAAGAACACAACTCAGAGCTAATACTAACCAATACCATCACCACTACAATCAAGATAATCGCCAAATATACCACACTGACAAATTCATCAAATCTACAACAATAAATAAGGTTTCTTGTAAGAAGTGGTGCTTATTACCTGGCTGACTCTCTTTTAATATGGTGAAATATTGAAAAATTTTGACAAAGGGACCTCATTGAAAAATTTCAGTTCTTTTAATGGTGAATGTAATGAACGTTTCAATTGTAGAAAGCATGTTAAAGAGAAGAGTAATTGAGATTTAGAAGAGTGAAATTATGTCAGAAATGGTATGTTGATGTATTGAATAGTTTTTTCAGTTTTGCAAATGGTTAATTTTTGCAATTGTAAGGAAAGGTTTTTGTTCAAGCTTCTATAATTTGATTTATTTTATAACTGGATACTAACTATAGGTACCATTTAATGGTTGGTATGTTAATTATCAGGAACAAGAGAGACGTGGAACTTCTCATCAGCAGCATGGTGGTCAACATCACCATCATTCGCAGCATAAGAAGAAGTTTGAAGGTCCTAAGAGAGAAGCTATTGTGGATTTGGCCAAATATAAAGATACCAAAATACGTGTTAAGTTGATGGGTGGGAGATTAGTTACTGGTGTTTTAAAAGGTTACGATCCTTTGATGACTTTAGTCTTAGATGAGACCGTTGAATATTTGAGAGATTTGGAAGATTCTTCTATTATTTTGAAAGATCAAACCAGAGATCTAGGTTTGACAGTTATAAGGGGTACTGTTTTGTTATCATTGAGTCCAGTAGATGGCTCTGAAACTATATATTTACAAATGGAAGATTAGTATAGCAGTTTTTAATGAAATAGAAATTAATTTAATAATAGTGGATTAAGTTGTACGTTACTTGTGTTTCCTTTCCAGTAATAACCTTCTTCTTAAAAGTGACAGTGTTGGCATTCTTCATAGCTTGAGTGCACTTCTTGTCATCTGCAAAGCAAGGGTTTGCATTTTCAGATTATACTTTAATTCTCCTTTTTTATTGGAATCGATGCTTGTGGAATAGGGCTGTGAAATTGATTTGAAAAGACAACAATAATTCTTGTGAACCAAAATTCGAATCTGTATATGCTTATATATAAAATTAATCACTTAAAGTTACCTAATTATCATTCTCTTTATTCCCATGGTTCTAATATATAAAGCTTTAACAGGTTTCATTGGTCTCTGTAATTCAAATTAAAAGAGTCTATTAATAAATTAAAAAAGGATATTATTTATTGACAACGAAATAAATAAAAGAATGGATTAGTTAACAATTCCCAATGTAAAAGAGACCATAATCCTTTGATAAGTATTGTGTTTTTTAAATTAGTATTGAGTTTTTGTTTTGCTCTTATATACTATAGTTAAGAATTTATGACCTAATGAAATATTACTTGAACAATCTAAACATATAAATATTTAATAACAAAAAAAATGTCAATCTATTTTATAAAAACTTCCAGCTTTATGACATATACGCAAATATACACACATTTATAAACAAGTTTTATGGATATTACTTAAGATTTTAACTAGGGAAACCTTCACTACCATTAAACCCTGAGAATGATGTCATTAAGAAAATATTATAGTATTTTTTCTTTGAAATCTCATTACAATGGTTCCATGCTGAAGTTAATCTACCATCAATACAGGAGCCACTCATGTAGAAGTTATCAGCACCTGAACCATCAAACATGTGAGCAAAGGCATCTTGCAAAATAGTCAATTTTAGATCATTTACTGAACCATATTCTTTCTCGATATATTCTAACAAGTAGGAATCCTTTCCAACTAGTTCATTAATTTTCATTAAAGTTGTGTCAAATGGAATTAATATGCTAGGTACTTGAGTGTATTTATCCAAAAAGAATAGTGCATTTGGAACAGCATCATCACCAAGATGAACAACTGATGAACCCACCCATGTATCGGACTTACGTCTACATTCAGATATAATTTTATGCATTTCCTGATAGATTAGAGGACAAGCCTTGATACGATTTAAACCATGGCCAGTGGAGGCTAATTTATAGTAAGAACCATCAAATAAGTCTGTATCTGCCAAAAACCATAGTCTACACATATCTCTTTGAATCAATGACCATAAGGAAAGGGATTGGTGAACATAATGCCATTGTCTTTCATGATCATGGGTTAGACGTGCACCATCCCTTCCAAATTGAATACCAATTGAGTATTTTGCTGCAATTTCTGGATTTTTGAATACTTCCAATCTTTCCAACATTCTTTTTATTGGTCTCCTGTTCATATCAACATATGCATTATAATCTCCAATAGAATATAATACTTGGCGGATATCTTCTTTACTAAAGTGACGGCTGCTGTATTTAGAAGCTAATTTTTCAATTGAAGATTCCTTTAACTTAATCATTCTGTTGATTTCTGATCTTGTTTTACCAACTGGAGAGATGTGACTAATTGCATTAATAATGTCCCTATCACGGAACATGCTCATAGCTTTACCTTTATCGTCAGGTTTTGAATTCAGAAAGTGCTTTACAGTTTTGATTGGTTTAAAAAGGTGGAATTCCATATGCTCAGTAATATCCGGTAACCTTGAATCCATGACCATATAACACAACTTACCATATGTATCTCTCATTCTTTCTGGATTCATAATTTTGTATCTTCTCCCAATTTCAAAAATATCTTGAAACCATGCTGCATTATCAGAAAAGTTTTTCATTTCTAATAATTTCTGACCAATACGAAGGTCAGAAGCAATGACCAAGCCTGATAAAACAGAGCACATTTCTTTCAATTGTTCTACAATTCTTCTATTCTTAGACTTATAAGAAAGAATATCAACACGATCAGTGTACTCAGAAACTTGAAGAGCAGCTTCAAGTAATCTTAAAAGATGCCTCTCCTCGTAAGTCAATCTCATAGGCACATATTCTGCATTTTTTTGTAAAATTGAAAATATTTTCTCTTCAATATCTTGAGTTTTCCCATTATCATTTAAATTCCTACCTTGTTCATTATCAGCATCGGATTTCAACTCACCATTAATATCATCTTGTTTGGCCCTTTGCCCTTCTTCGGTCTGGGGTAGAACTTCTTCACTGGAAGAAGCTACCGATGTATTTCCATTGCCAACGCCAGCACTATCAATACTCATTTTAACATAATCATGTTTCTTTCTCTTACCATTCCTATGAATCATCTCAAAACAAATCACACAAAACCTTTCATCACAATCTTTACAGATTATTTCACACTTCATATCCTTGCACTCTACACAAAGTGACGGATCAACTTCCACCTCATCATCATCATCATCATCATCACCATCGCCACAACCTGCTCTATCACTCAATTTGACATCGTCATCATCACTTTCGTCAACATATTCAGAATCCAATATCTCTTTCAAAGAACGTTTCGAAATACCCATCTTTGCTCCCACAAAAAGCCTCTAGATCACAACAAAAATAAACTAAATAGATCAAAACAGAAGCTATTCAATTATCCCCCTTGTCTCCAAACAATATATACCTCCTTCCAACAAATTAAACCCACCAAATCCTTATTTAATCGATCTCATCTGTTCAGATTCCTTTATAGACTCTTCTTTAAAATATTTTTTGATATCTACATACTTAACGAATAAGGTAATAAAAAGAAACCGAACTGATATTAAATCAAGAATTTAACCAAAATTTTAGTAATGATATAGATGACATAGATGATAAGTCTGTTAAGAATTGAATTTATGATAAATAATTGTATAGTTCATTAGTTATTTTATTTTATAATTGGATTCTTTAGGAGAATAGGTTTCGATCGAGTCTATTTTAGTACAAGGTGTAGGTATCTATTGGTGATTTTGCTTCGAAATTACTTTGGGTTACTGCTTTAACATTCTTGTGGGCAAAATTTCGAATAAATTAGTTTGATCCAAATCCTTTTTAGGTGGAAAGTGTTGATAATTCAGGTTTAGTTTACAATTTAAGGATTGTATTGTTGGTTTTGGGTTTTGGGTTTTGATATCAATTTTAGACGGTTACTTTTGTTCAATTCTGGAGGGTTTCTATCTGGGCATTTATAGACTTTGTATTTGAATAGAGAAGAGGAAATATATGGGTTTGTTTAGTATGAAGCAATCTTTTGTTAATGAGAAAAGTTCATTTCCAGTGAAAACTATTATTAAGAGCATTTTACTCTTTGTATTAGTGAGCACAATTGTGAAAACACTGTTGAATAACCGTTATACCTTGTTGACAACCCTCTTTCCAGAAAAGTTTTATGGTAGAGTACAAGAATATGGGAATCCTGATGTAATATCACAAGTTAACTATGACGTGGATGATCTAAACCCAGTTAGTCCAATTAGAGTTATAATTTTTGCAAGTGCTTTAATGTTACTATCTGTACCTTTTATGCTTTGAAAATATAACATAATGAACTTTTTATATTATCAGACACACACCTCACCACCTAATGTATTCTATGAATTAAAATAAATAATAACAATTATTTTAGTTTCAATTGACGTATAGCTAACTATTCATTTCAAATAGTATGTTTTTTACGGGTCATTGTTTACATATAAAAGATATGTCAAGAGTTACTTACTGTTTATGATAAATTGAAACTAACGAAAGAATGCAATGCTGAAACCATAATCTAGTAAATTGTAAGAGGTAGAAATAACTTTACTTCTCAGTAAGGATATACTTGTTCTTTAAAACAATTATGTGGTAATATCCAGAAACGGAAGTTTCATTAAAAAATTGAATAATCGGTTACCTGAAGGTATCTCAAAATGAATCTAGAGAATTTAATGATAATCTCAAAATGAATCTAGAGAATTTAATGATAATCTCAAAACAGTAATAAACTTATTTACAATTAATTATTATTAGTTTTAGAAATTAGAAAATAATCATTTGTTGTATAATAGTAATTTTTATTAAAATAAAATGTATAAATAGGAGAACATTTGCAACTCTTTTTACCAATTCAGAAATGTCATTTCTCTTAAAACTTATACTTTACTATTAAAATAGTCCTAATAGGGATATAAACATCAAGAAACCAAAAACACTGAAAATGCAACCATCCACTGCCAACAACCAAAAAATCAACACTGAAAACCAAGATAACTGTTGTCAAGGTACTGAAATCCAAAACTCTGGTTTCTTACAAACTATTATCTGTGTTATTGCTTAAGTTAAAACAGAAATATGAAACACCATATACACTGATACCATAATTTAATTAAATAATAACAATTGTATAACTAGGTACTTATGTTTAGTTAGTAAAATAGTTATTAGAGTACATAGAAAAGTTATAAAATAATATTTTGTTAATTTTATTTTCCTATTATTGAGGTTCTCTCATAACGTTTATGTTAGCTTTGCTTATATCACAATTGACTACAAAGAACGATGAAAATAGTAATATGAACAATTAAGTTGAGATGGGCCCTCAAACTAATTTTTTAGAATAAATTCCATCATATTACGGAGCACTGATAGCATTGAGCTATCTTTTAACCTAAAGTATGGGCATGTCTATTACGAAATGTTCATTGGCCTAAAGGGGAAGTTCTCTCTTTCTTTACTGACGTAATCGAAGTTCGTTCTAAGAAATATATGTAGAAAAGAGAATATTTAGATTTTTTTAAGACACTGCTGTCCTTTATGAAAAAATCTTATACTGAGACAAAAGATCCAATCTAAGGAATAAACTCTTGTTGTCAAGTGAAATTCTAACAATAAATATCCCAACTCCCTTCAAATTATCCTAACTACGTACTTTTCTTCTTCTGTGCTGATACTGGTTTACTGCTTTCCAGGAAGAGTTGCAAGAACTCAAGACAAATCATTAACTGTGAAATAGTCTGGTCAACAACTGTTAGTGGTTAAATTTTGTTAAGGAACCATAAGGATGATATTTGTTTTTCAAAATTGTTAGAATCCAAAATGACAGGAAGGTGTGGAAATTCGATTCCCTATGAAATTTCTCGTTGTCGTTTATTCCAAAACATTAGCAGTTCAACAAAATGGCGCCAAAATAGTATCTCTTAATAAATTGATATGCTGAGAAAAGTTTAACTTATACAGATGACTTAGTATGTTATTTTGAGGTTTTGATAATTATAAGCAACCAACTTTTGAATTGAATGTTTTATCCCAAACCCCAAAATATATATTTTCAAACTAATTTGAGTAATAATTAATACATAATTCAGTATGATGTAACTAAACCTTTACAATATCTGTTGGCCCTATAATTAAATATACGGTCATGTATGGTATCCAGTTTCTAGAACGTAAAATTTATTTTACGACTGAATGATAAAGTAAAGTATGTTGAATAATAGGGATCTGTTACTGTGAAGAACACTATGGAAGGTAAAATGTATTACCTTGAAAGGGATCAAGTCCTGGAGGACAAAATATTTTACAATTTATAAATTTGAGGTAGTGTAATATTGAATAATATGGAAAGTATAGTACTTCAAAGTCATGTTTCACTGAGAGAGAATGTTGTTTCATGTGTCAGTCTTCTAAAGAGGTAAAGAAGATTTCATCATTTGAATATCGCAACATGTCCATTGGGAAGGTACTAGAACAACATTTAGAAGTACAATTATAGTTCAAGAAATGTCATATATGATCAATCTTTAGGTATGAGACAAATTATTTAAATTTATGCTTAAAAGACATTTTAGAAGCAATGGAAACAGGAAGAAGTGAGATTATTGGAGAGAGGGTCCTTTCCATCGGGTAAATACAATCACATTATGTTCTGGACATTTATTTCAACATGCATTTCCCATGTCGTAAAATAAAACTATATCTACTTGCATATTACAGTAGTCATTCGAAAGTCTTGTCCCAAAAGTATGCTTCTGTAGAAGTCAAAATATAATTGCGTAAAAATCATTATTACTCAAATAGGAATAGAAAAATGACAGTAATTAAATATATGAAGCATAGTTAAATATATGTCGTGACATTGAAAAGAAATTAAAATTAGAGGAATAGATGAACTGATTTGTATTAGTGAATAAACTGATCTAGTTGGAGGGAAAGTGGTCATGTCGTATTATTGGAAGACTCTACTAACCTTAAAACAAGTTCACCAAATCAATAGCCCCTTGGTCTTAAAATATTTATAAAGTTTCCAAAATAATAAGTATAAATAGGGCCAAATAATATCTATCTAAATCAATTTGTAATTTCCTTTCAAAATTTTTATTATGAATTAATGTCTTTACATGAAAAAAACAACAATACTATAATCAACAAGTATAATCAACTAAACTAATCAAAAAAAAATGCAACCAACTCAATCTGAAAACAAGGACAACTTTGTTGAAAACATCTGTAACACTGGTTTCTACCAACAAACTACTTGTGTTATTGTTTAAATAGTTGATTTAGCGTCACTGACATAAAATTTTCTATTCTCAATAACATACTCTATTATTAGAGATATATTAGTAAATTATATATAATTATATAATTTAGATATGCTTCAAAATATAATAGAATACTATATTTTTTTACAATTTGTTTTTATTATAATCTAGAAATCTCAAATTCCGAATGTTTTGAATTGGTATTTTTAGAAGGGAAAATTCTAACCTTATTTTATATAATAATTTTTCTCTCTATTTAAACAGGAATTACGGTTTATTTAATTATTGACAATTGCATTAAAATAAAATAATAACGGTTAGTCATATTAATCAAAAAAACAAGATTCAAGGGGAAGAACTGAGACATTCTTTGAATGTTTTCTTTGAAGATATTTGAGAGCAGATAATATGAACCGTAAAGTATGCTTGATTTCTCTAATTTATTTTTTCTAGACATGCAATTATATTTTAAATCTAAATTATATCGAACTTCATGTTTCGTATACCAACTAGGACAAGAAAGAGGTTAACAATCGAGTTTTAAACTTATGGTTGAAAATTAATTATATAAATTATGAAGTATTTTCAAGAATCCAGAGTTTATTAATGCCTAACCTGATAGTAAAACCAGGCACTTAACATATTCTGGAACACCTTATAGGAAAGGAAAAGGTAATTATGACCATTCAATAGCTTTAGTCTCCTAACCAATTCAATTCCATTCACTATATTTTTTAAGATTAATGATTTCAAAATTTCTATTCCATGGACATATTCTTGAATATATAATTACATATGTTCTGTTATGCCTACCACTCATAAATATTTGAGAATTAAAATAAACTTTTATCTGAGATCATAAATAACTTGACATCAGCCCACAATTTTTTTTCACAGGCTTGAATATCAATTGCTGTACCAGATGTGAGAGAAAGTTTTTGTTTTTAATATTAGGTACCTAATACCTATCTGCCACAATTAAAAAAACAATGAACTTGGAGTAAATTTAGATTTCTAAATAGTAAAAGATTCTTCAATTTAAGAAATATATACAAAAACGATCAAACTAATCGATTTCTACGCCTTAAAAGTTGGAAAGTATCATGAATAACATGTAATCTGGTTTCTAAAAAATAAAACCACATCTTCTTGCATTAAAGAAAAAAGAAAGAAACAAAGAGGACCAAAATATATTAAAAGCAATATACTTCTTATCAATTCTGGAAGTCAATATTTGAAATTCTCCATACATCAATTATCTATGTACAATAAATCCCTTCTCAACCCTTAGAAATTTCCCTCAAAATAAAAAGAAAATAGAAAACAACAACACTTAGAGAAATAAAGAAAAGAGAATACTTAGATCTCAACCCAACAAAGAACCTGCCTTGAAATCGAAATTATCTCCTTCTAGACAGAAACAAAGTAAACTTCATTGCAACCGTGTCCAAAATAATAATTCCTTACAGAGATTCCTTTAATACCTTTAACATTATGTAAAAAAGGAAATAACCTGAAACATAAGCTGCTGTCAGGACTTTTTCTCAACAACTACCTAGCAAACCAAATTAGTAAAAGGACAGCCAACCACCGTTCATTAATCAATTAATGATAGCGACATACATACGCACTGACTTCAATTATTTCCCATCCCTTCCAATAAAATTCGTTCAAACACCTGTATTGTGCTTATTAGGTAAGTATGTTACATCATCTTGAAGAAACATTAATATTAATCCCTTCCTTGTAGTATATTTATTTTTATTGTTATGGAATCCTTTTTAATGGTTAACTTATTCAGATTCTTGTCACATACCCCCATCAAATCTCACAAAATTACCTAATTGGGGCATGAAACTGGAATTCGATATTTTGAGCAGTGAGAAAATGTCGTAGCAAGTTTCCTCGAGACCAGGAAAATGGTACGATTACTAACAATATCCGTAGTAATCAAATAAGGAAAAGAAGAATGTACTACAAACATTGAATTTCTTTTTGAAGCTTTTCTTTTGT